AATAACCTTGGACAGCAACAACAACAACAACAAAACAAGAGGTTTTGAAAGAGGTGGGCCCGAAGACAACTAATTACAGACGTCAGAAGGAGACAGTCATCATTTTTCAGCCATGTTATGAGAAGAGGGAAAATAGAACATGTGGTGCATGGCTTGGAGGTGTGTCAGCACATGAACTAATACATGCTGCAGGAGATCCCAGATTGTTACGAGGCGTAATCGCCCACGCCAGTTGGCAAGGCAGCTGATGATGATGATACACTATTCGTTTTCGGCCTAATAGTTGGTCCCGCTATTCGTATTTGGCCAAACAGTGAAAATCAAACTGACACCGGAGGAGAAAAGAAAATGGGGAAGACCAAAAGAGATCCTGCATAGAAACATTATCAGGGAAGGCTCAACCATGGGCCTGATGAACAACCAAGAGCTAAGACAGGTGGCAACGAACTGCCAGACATGGAGAGCTACACAAGAGGAAAAACTAAATAACTAAGCTTGCCACTAATACTCAACAGTCAGCTCTCCATACCACTATTGAAACCAAGGCTAGTTGGTCTGCTGTAAAATCATCCAAAGCTGGGATCAAACCCTGCACCCTGGAATAATGAAGCATGCCCACAGCATCTAAGCCACAGGTGCTGACAAGTAAACCATCTAGCCATTGAAATACCTCAGCTCCAGGTTTTTGCGATGGTGCCTGCGCTCTTTAACGCTATCAGATCTGGACAGAGGTTATGTTACCTTGGCCAGTCTTAAATATTACACTGACCACCAATGTTCAAAACATTTCTAGCTCTCTCAATTCTAAATATAATTTTGACAACTACAAACTTTCTAGCTTATTTAGTTCTAAATATTACTTTCACCGCTATTGTTCTAGAAACTTTTTAGCTTGGTTCTAAATATTATTTGAATCGCTATTGTTCTGGACACTTTTTAGCTCTTAATTCTAAATATTACTTTGACTGCTATTGTTCTAGAAACTTTCTAGCTTATTCAGTTCTAAATATTACTTTCACTGCTATTGTTCTAGACACCTTTTATCTTAGTTCTAAACATTACTTTGATTGCTATTGTTCTAGGCATTTTTTTTTTAGCTTACTCAGTTCTAAATATTACTTTGGATGCTTTTGTTCTAGACACGTGTTAGCTTACTCAGTTCTAAATATTACACTGACTGCTTTTGTACTAGTTACTAATTTTTTTTGGGTGTTTACACACGTCTCCAAATGACTGTCAATGAGGGTTACTACAGTTCCATGTTTATTCACAATACAACATAGGTGACAAGAATCAATGTTACAGCTTAACACTTACACCATCCAGGCAAGGTCCATTTGCTCGCACCTTGTGTATACAGCCACGCCATGGTCGACGCTGACATACACATGAATGGCACAATCACTAGTCAGTATGACACATCCATTGCCCTAAGCTATACTTTATAGTGGTCTTGCTGCAACCACTTTATAGCTTTCACTCCTTGCCCTTCAGGATCAATGTTCAATCTGTTTCACTCTGGATCCACTTCCACTCCTCTCTCTCTGGGGTCCTGTCACAGAATGACTTCCTAGTCAGCTATTTCCCCAGACCCCATGTTGCCAGGTGAGCTCACACAATCTAAGGTTTTGCCATTCTCACATCGACTTCATGTCTTTCAATCTAGGAACTTATCCAGTTCTGCCAACCAGTCAAATAACTATTTTTGGCATCACTACAGACTGCTTTTGTTCCAGATATTTTTTAATCTGCACACAATTAAGTCAGATCTGTTAAACGGATGTGCACGCAACACTCAGGTTCTGGAACAATACTAAAGTCCAGAGGTGGGCAAGCAACCAGAACTTTCCATAGGAGTTTACAGCCAATGAAAGTGAAGAAAAAGAATAAAAAAAATTTTAAAACGTAAATAAAGAAACATAACTACATCAGTGTACGTACAATAGAATATTACTATGTTTCACATTATGTACAATAATTATGCATTCATAGATTAAATTTTTATGTTTTATGTACAATTTACATAACCCATTTGAACAAAAATAATGTAGACAAATATAAATTTGAATAATGACCTATTAGTCAGAACGGGACTTGGTCATAAGTCAAGGAGACCTGTATGTCTTCACTGGAAATGTACATCTATCTAAACTCATTATATACATATTTGTTCTGGTCACCAGTTTGCATCTGTGGCTTAGGAATTGTGAATGCAGTTTTTAAGTCTTAAATACCCAATTCAATTCCAGCTGTGGGTGATTCAGCAGCAGATCGCTTTGCAGTGATTTAGACAATGGCAACGAGAGCTGATCATTCAGTAAAATGGCAAACTACTGAACGTAAAAATTTACTAGCAAAACCAACGTACAAAATTTTTAGTAAAACAACAAACTGCCAACACATGTTGGGGTTGGTTTGCAATATTCTTTTTTCAGCTAATAGTAAAAACTAAAGTTAAGGACCCTTTTCCTACCTGTAGGCATACTGGGCAGAGAGAGCTGGACTTATATTTGATAGACCAATTGGCACTTGGTGGGTAATGTGGTCAGCATCACCTTTACTTTCCATGACCTCACCTGGTACCCAGATCAGGCTGGATCAACCTGGGAGCCAAGGTCATTGTTTTAAAAAGGTCTGGCTTCATTAGGTCTTGAACCCAGGATCTTCTGATCTACACTTAGGTGTCTAGCCACAATATTAGGGCAGTTTCCATATCCCCCCCCCCCCCCCACCAATTTTTTTTAAAAACTGATACTCAATCACACATGTACAAACAATGAAACCAGTTTATACATTGACATACCTGGCTGATTGGAGCTGCAAAAATCTGGTCAGTGTACTCATTAGCAACACGGGTCTTACGACCAGGGTGATCTCCCATGTATTTCATGATATGTACAGAATGTTAAAGAAATGTCCCTGTTTCTAGGTAAAAGCACTGCATAGATTTTCTATTCTTTCTTAAGGAGGACTATGTGACTTGACCAAAACTTCTACATAAACAATTTTTGAAACAATGAAATTCCACTTAGTAAAAGCAATAGACACTGTGTACAGTCTCTATCTCTTTAAATTACGAGTTTAAAAATAGTGAAACTAGTATGTATGATTAATAAAATATTATAAAAACACTGAGTGTGTGGATAGTTGGATCACAAGGTAGAAGATACGATCTCTATGACCACTAAATGTGTGGGTGGTTAAAAAGCGAGGTAGAAGATATGATTTCTGTGACCATTGAGTGTGTGGATTATTACATAACAAGGTGGGAGATTTAAAGGTTAAGTCAAAGGGAAAAGTAGAGAGGACTGACTTCACTGCACCAGGTTTTTTCAAATATTGCTCAGTCTCTCTCCGCAGAACAGCTAGCTGCCTGCCAAGAAAGCCACACAGAGCACAAACTCTGTAGCTCAGGGAACGATCCCCAGGGATCTCCATAAAAACCACACTTGTGAACCCACAACCTTCAGAGCAAGAGGTAAACGGTATGACAACTTCTAAATGGAGATCACAGAGGTAGGAGATATGATCTCTGTGACCACTGAATGTGTTGGGTGGTTAAACAACAAGGTAGAAGATATGATCTCTGTGATCACTGAATGTGTTGGTGGTTAAACAACAAGGTAGGAGATATGATCTCTGTGACCACTGAATGTGTTGGTGGTTAAACAACAAGGTAGAAGATATGATCTCTGTGACCACTGAATGTGTTGGTGGTTAAACAACAAGGTAGAAGATATGATCTCTGTGACCACTGAATGTGTGGGTGGTTAAACAACAAGGTAGAAGATATGATCTCTGTGACCACTGAATGTGTGGGTGGTTAAACAACAAGGTAGAAGATATGATCTCTGTGATCACTGAGTGTGTGGGTGGTTAAACAACAAGGTAGAAGATATGATCTTTGTGATCACTGAATGTGTTGGTGGTTAAACAACAAGGTAGAAAATATGATCTCTGTGACCACTGAATGTGTTGGTGGTTAAACAACAAGGTAGGAGATATGATCTCTGTGACCACTGAATGTGTTGGTGGTTAAACAACAAGGTAGAAAATATGATCTCTGTGACCACTGAATGTGTTGGTGGTTAAACAACAAGGTAGGAGATATGATCTCTGTGACCACTGAGTGTGTGGGTGGTTTAACAACAAGATCAGATATATGATCTCTGTGACCACTGAGTGTGTGGGTGGTTTAACAACAAGATCAGATATATGATCTATGTGACTGCTGAGTGTGTGGGTGGTAAAAAAATAAGTAGGAGATATGATCTCTGAGGCCTCTGGATGTGCTGGTGGTTAAACAACAAGGTAGGAGATATGATCTCTGTGACCACTGAGTGTGTATGTGGTTAAGCAACATGGTAGAAGAAAAACCTTTGTGACAACTTAGTGTGTGGCTGGTTAAATCATAAGAAGGAGAAATGATCTTTGTGGCTGTGACCATAACGCAGCTGAATGGTTAATAAAAAGATAGAAGATATTACCTATATGTCTGTGACCACTGATCATATGGGTAGCTAGAATACAAGCTAGAAAATTTCACTTTTGCTGCAGTTTTCCAAAACATGAATCTGCAGATTTGCTTAGCACAAACAATATAAAAGATTATCACAAGGATATTCAAGAAGCAATTGCACGCCTCATCACTGAGTGCCTCATTGCCAATGAGCTTCTTCAGCAGAGGTTGTTTCAAAGGCTCTTTGGAATGTTTCCACAGTTCATCGTTTTGTTTTCTTTTGTTTAAGGTTCCACTTAAGGTTTTCTTGGGTGGAGCTCTGAGACACAAGAAAAATAAATGAAATACAGCAGGAAAAAGACGAGGACTAATTAGTATAACAACAATTACACAGTCTAATCAATACAGCAGCAAAAAGACAGTCTAATCAGAATAACAACAATCACATAGTCTAAATCAATACAGCAGCAAATAAAAAAATTCTAATTAGTATAACAACAATCATTCAGTCTAATCATTACAGCAGCAAACAGACAAAGTCTAATCAGTATAACAACAATCACATAGTCTAAATCAATACAGCAGCAAATAAAGAAAGTCTAATCGGTATAAAAACAATCATACAGTCTAATCATTACAGCAGAAAAAAAAAAAAAGTCTAAACAGTATAATGACAACCACATAGTCTAATCAATACAGCAGCAAATAAAGAAAGTCTAATCGGTATAACCTTCCATCAGAGTTCTTTCCAGGCCAGCATAAAAGGAGCTGGTGCCCACCAAAACAAGTCTTTTACAAACAAAATTTGCCAGGACACACCACAAAGTCTCTACTACAATAGCACAATAGGGAAAAAAACACACACTATACCTGAACCAACAAAATTGCGCTGACACTGCATCCAGAAAACTGTCACTCAAATCACCCGAGAGGCACAAAACAAATATTTTAAACCACGACACTGGGCTGCAACCCGGTAAAAGTGAAGAAGACAATAGATAGATTCCAATACATAAGAAGTGATTCCAATTCATAAGTAGTGACTCCAATACATAATGTCCCAGATAGTTAGTATCCTTCAGATATTATCTCCAGGTTATGCCAGTGTGTTGGGAAATGAGTAGGCAGATAGACAGGCCAGTTCTGCACCACTTGGTGGTGAATTGTTGTATGACAAGCTAGAGGTTGTGAGGGCCCTCTGGGAGTGACTGAACAGTGTGGAAGCACACATAGTTTATAAGGATCTGAAGAGAGTAGTGCTGTGAGGAGTTACCAGGGGATCTGACCGACGCTCAATACTTAAGGAAAGGGCGAGAAGGATATACAATCAGACAGTTACTGGTGCCATCAAAATTGGAACTCTTCATTTGCTGTTGTAGATGGGGACGGAGTGCTTATGTGGGTGTCCTGGATTCTTAATTCAACATTCATTTCAATACATAATCAGTGATTCTAACCCAAAAGCAGTGATTCCAATAGATAAGTAGTGATTCAACCCCCCCCCCCCCCCCCCCTTTCCCCCCAAAATAGAAAAGTGCTAAAATATTTACCTGAAGTGATCATAAGAATACTGCTCTAAAGTGTGCAGTTCTGTTGTCCCCTTTGCTATGTTTTCATCCACAGAAAACTGCTCTGCTAAAGATCCCGATTGCATGAACAAATTCTGCATAGAAAACAGGAGAAGTAAAAACATATGATCAGCTGGCTGCAATTAATCCACTGAATTATGATGTAAGAAGCTTAAGGAATGGGAGCAATGAAAGCACACAAGAAAATATGATGTTTTGGCTGCAGCCTTTCTCAACACAAAACACAACAACAACAAGGGGCAGAGCATCCTGGCCACAAGTCCCTACTACACAACAGTATTATGTGTGTTGTGTTTTGGAAATAGTACTGGATATTTTTTGTGGGCGTCTGTGGTTTAGGAATTCCAAATGCGCTTCATAACGCAGGGGTGCTTGGTTTTATCAAAACTGTGGGCGATTTGACAGCAGGATTTCTTGCATTGGTTTCAACATTGATACTGTGAGCTGACCATTCAGAAAGCAATGGCAAACTACTGAATGTAAAATTTGCTAAGAAAAACCGCAACAGCCAAACAATGCTGGGGTCGGTTCTCCAAAGTCCTGTAAAGGATACGCAACTACATTTTACCAGGATATTTTATTACATGACAAAATAGAAGAGAGAGAGGAGGAAAATAGGAACAAAAGTGGAAGTGACCAAGAAGGAAAAGGCAGTGGAATAATTTTAGAATCAAGAGAAATCTTTGGAAATCTGATGCAAAATGACAACAGGTGTCATTTAACTACACAGCTAAAACATGATTTGACAGTTATGATGCGAATAGGAGTGACTGTGCCCAGTTTCATGCTGACCTTGTCAATTGTTTTTTAAGTCTGCTGTTTATAAGTCTGCTGTTGCAAAAGAAACATTTTAAGATGCACTGGGCACATAGACTCCTATTTTTATAGAGGCAGTTGCTGTGTTGTAATGGCTAGTTGCTCGCCTTCGGATCTGAAGGTTGTGGGTTAAAATTCCGACTAAGCTGGATTTTTCAACAACAACAACAACAAAAAACAAAAACAAAAAGACCTTGGCTCCCTTGTTGACCCAGCCTTAAATGAGTATTAGGTAAAGTCAGGGGAAGTAAAGGCTGCGTGATGCCACATCACCCATCAAATGCCGATTGTTCTATAAAATATAGGTCTAGCACTATATTTGCCCAATATGCCTAAAGGCGTGAAAAGGGTCCTTTACTGTATTATTACCAATCAACACTGTCTGGGGTGATATCATCAACATCACCACAGTCTGTTGTGTTAGTTGATTAAAACATTTTACTGTATTTGTGTGCTAAATTTTCTAGTCATAGTTTGTATCCTGTATTTTATCAGACATAAATATCCTATCTCTGCCATAACTATATTAACTGTGTTTATTCTATATAAGTAATGTCCGTAATATCTAAATCATGTCCTATTTCTGAAATCCCTATTCAATCTAGCCAATGTGTATTCTTCTTCAGGCAAAGACATACATTCAGCCAAGTATTTACTACTGTTATTTCACACCTCATTTCAGTCACACATGTTCTGTCTCATAAAAGCATCTAAATCATGTCAGTCCCATCTCAGTTATGCATGTCCTACCACTTCAGGTGCATGTGTCCCTTCTCAGTTATACATGTCCTTTCATCTTAGTTATGTATGCCCTGTCTACATTTTACATGTCACATCTCAGTTATGTATGCCCCGTCTACGTTATACATGTCACATCTCAGTTATGTATGCCCCGTCTACATTATACATGTCACATCTCAGTTATGTATGCCCCGTCTACGTTATACATGTCACATCTCAGTTATGTATGCCCCGTCTACATTATACATGTCACATCTTAGTTATGTATGCCCCGTCTACATTATACATGTCACATCTCAGTTATGTATGCCCCGTCTACATTATACATGTCACATCTCAGTTATGTATGCCCCGTCTACATTATACATGTCACATCTCAGTTATGTATGCCCCGTCTACGTTATACATGTCACATCTCAGTTATGCATGTCCCATCTAAGTTATTCATGCCCCATCTCAGAGATCCATGACCCATCTGAGTTATCCATGCCCCATCTCAGAGATCCATGACCCATCTGAGTTATCCATGCCCCATCTCAGAGATCCATGACCCATCTGAGTTATGCATGCCCCATGTCAGAGATCCAAGCCAAATCTCAGAGATCCATGCCCCATCTCAGAGTTCCATGACCCATCTGAGTTATGCATGACCCATCTCAGAGATCCATGACCCATCTGAGTTATCCATGCCCCATCTCAGAGATCCATGACCCATCTGAGTTATGCATGACCCATCTCAGAGATCCATGACCCATCTGAGTTATCCATGCCCCATCTCAGAGATCCATTACCCATCTGAGTTATGCATGCCCCATCTCAGAGTTTCATAACCCATCTGAGTTATGCATGCCCCATGTCAGAGATCCAAGCCAAATTTCAGAGATCCATGCCCCATCTCAGAGATCCATGCCCTATCTCAGAGATCCATGCCCCATCTGAGTTATGCATGCCTCATCTCAGAGATCCATGACCCATCTCAGAGATCCATGACCCATCTGAGTTATGCATGTCCCATCTCAGAGATCCATGACCCATCTGAGTTATGCATGCCCCATGTCAGAGAGGAATGACCCATCTGAGTTATGCATGCCCCATCTCAGAGATCCATGACCCATCTGAGTTATCCATGCCCCATCTCAGAGATCCATGACCCATCTGAGTTATGCATGACCCATCTCAGAGATCCATGACCCATCTGAGTTATCCATGCCCCATCTCAGAGATCCATTACCCATCTGAGTTATGCATGCCCCATCTCAGAGTTTCTTAACCCATCAGAGTTATGCATGCCCCATGTCAGAGATTCAAGCCAAATTTCAGAGATCCATGCCCCATCTCAGAGATCCATGCCCTATCTCAGAGATCCATGCCCCATCTGAGTTATGCATGACCCATCTCAGAGATCCATGACCCATCTCAGAGATCCATGACCCATCTGAGTTATGCATGTCCCATCTCAGAGATCCATGACCCATCTGAGTTATGCATGCCCCATGTCAGAGATGAATGCCCCATCTGAGTTATGCATGCCCCATGTCAGAGAGGAATGACCCATCTGAGTTATGCATGCCCCATCTCAGAGTTCCATGACCCATCTGAGTTATGCATGCCCCATCTCAGAGATCCATGACCCATCTGAGTTATGCCTGCCTCATCTCAGAGATCCATAACCCATCTCAGAGATCCATGACCCATCTGAGTTATGCATGTCCCATCTCAGAGATCCATGCCCCATCTGAGTTATGCATGCCTCATCTCAGAGATCGATGACCCATCTCAGAGATCCATGACCCATCTCAGAGATCCATGACCCATCTGAGTTACGCATGCCCCATCTCAGAGTTCCATGACCCATCTGAGTTATGCATGCCCCATCTCAGAGATCCATGCCCCATCTGAGTTATGCATGCCTCATCTCAGAGATCCATGACCCATCTCAGAGATCCATGACCCATCTGAGTTATGCATGTCCCATCTCAGAGATCCATGCCCCATCTGAGTTATGCATGCCTCATCTCAGAGATCCATGCCCCATGTCAGAGATGAATGCCCCATCTGAGTTATGCATGCCACATCTCAGTGATCCATGACCCATCTGAGTTATGCATGCCTCATCTCAGAGATCCATGACCCATCTGAGTTATGCATGCCGCATCTCAGAGATCCATGCCCCATCTGAGTTATGCCTGCCTCATCTCAGAGATCCATGACCCATCTCAGAGATCCATGACTCATCTGAGATATCCATGTCCCATCTCAGAGATCCATGCCCCATCTGAGTTATGCATGCCCTATCTCAGAGATCCATGCCCCATCTGAGTTATGCATGCCCTATCTCAGAGATCCATGACCCATCTGAGTTATGCATGCCCCATGTCAGAGATCCATGCCCCATCTGAGTTATGCATGCCCCATCTCAGTGTTCCATTCACCATATCAAAAACACACACCATATCTTCTCTTGACAATTGACATCCACATGCACAAACATCAACCACTGACCACTATTTCCGGTGCCGGCTTGTTTATGGTCGGCAGCACATAGACACATTCCGCTGGGAAATCGCCTTTTAGCTTGGTTCTGACATTCTCCCCACAGCACCAGCCAGACTTCCTGACCGCCTCCCCAGTGTTATCTGGGTCCAGGATGATCAGGTCCCCTTTCTTGAATGTTAAAAATGATGGCCCATCTGAAAAAGACACAGCAGAGTTAAAGCAGATTTTCTGGACATGTTAACAATAGTATCACAGAGCAGGGTACTCACTCCCCTTGGTATTTCATAAAGATTGCTGAAGAATGAGGTCCTCAGTCATGTGGATGCGGAGAACAAGGAGACTACTACATAATATAATGTCTAAATCTTTAAATTGAGCTGAAAGGCAAACAATCTGGAGAGCTGAGGTATTTAGTATCACTGTTGAAACCAGTGCAAAAAATCCTGCTGCTAAATCGCCCACAGCTTGGATCAAATACCTCCGCTCTTTGATTCCCTTGCACTCTTGCATGTCCCGGGCAGTATATCCACGTGATTCCCTGCAATGTTGGCGAACTGATGTCCTGGTTGATACTAGGTCCTAACAGCTGCACTGACCATACTGTGAGGTGTTTCTCATCCATGAAGAGCTATATGTGGTCAGCACTCTTTGGAACCAAGTGGTCTCCGAGCTTCGGATTTAATACAGACAATGAGAGCTAAGTGGAGGAAGAAGTGTATGCGAAGGTTGAAGAGGAAGAGGAGAAAGATGAGGGCGAGATCCAAGTAAACCCCCTGTTTCACTTGTGTGTGTGTGTGATGAGTGATGCACCATGGTCAGTTTTCTCCAGACTCCATTTGCAGTCAAATGGCTCTAGCTAGGATACATGGAGACTGCACATTTTACACAAGCATTGTTCAGCTAGCTGATATCCTGTTGCCTGGATCCATGTGATGTGTACAAAGCAAATATGAGCAACCTAGGCTGGTGGTTACTGTCCCAAATATTCATTAAAATCTTGACACACACAAAAAAATATAAAAAAACTGAACAGTGCAGAAGCTTGAACAGATTTATATGTTCTAAAGAGAATGGTTCAGCGGGGAGTGACTAGGCGATCTGGTCAACACAAAATAAGGCGAATTTAAAACCAAACTGCTACTGGTACCAAAACATTGGAAATCTTTTGCTACCTGCTGAAGATATGACCGAAAAGCTTATGGGAATGTCCCAAGTGCTTTTATGTTTTCTCTTAACTAACTTCTACAATGTAGGAGGTACATAAAAAAATAGCAGATGAATCCGTGCATAAGAGAGAAACAGTATTTAAAATATAAATCAATCAGATGAAGTAAATTTGTTACCTTGTTTCAGATAATCTTGTATAGCAATAACATAACGAGATCTCTTCTTCAGACCCTCCAAGAAGGTGGTAATGAGGTCGTGAATATCCTCAGCATTTGTAGAAGTAAAAGTAAACACTTCACCTTTAACAGTTGTCAGGGTGAAGCTTTGGCCGTGCATCTTGCCCAATCTGTGAGACACAAGATGTATTTCAAAATGGGAATGATGGTAAGTATTATATACTACTACAGCTACAACTGCTGTTGCTATGACTACCTTCTCTTTCCACTGGTAGTACTTTTAGTAATACTTCTGCTGTTGCTGCTACTTTTACAACAGCAACTGTAGCTACTACTGTAACTAGTACTACTACTAATACTAATGCCTCCACTACAAACAGCACCATTACTACTGTTAATAGCACCATTCCTACAACTGCTAATATTACTACTATGACCTCTACTATTAATACTACTACTGTTTCTAATAGTAGGATAAATATTACTCCAGCTCTTACTGCTACAACTGCTTGTAGTACTTTTACTACTATTGTTGCTGCTGCTTCGACTGCTGCTGCAACTACTACTACTATTTATACCACCACTACCACACTACCATCACCACCACCATTACTACTATTATTAGCACCATTCCTACCACTACTATCTATCACTAGTGCCATGACTACTACTACTACTATTTCTAGTTCTACTATTATTTCTACTACTGCACCTGTGCTACTACTAGTAATATTCTTTTTATTTTTCTTTCTTGTCCCCTCATTTGAGTTCAGTCTTCTACCTTATTGGCTAATATTTATGAAATATCTCCACCTTTAGAAGCTGTTGTACCACTCTAGTTAAATGTGCACTTTTTCTTCTACTTCTTCACCCCAACTTCCTGCAGTTCTTCATTGAACTGTTAGAAATAGATGTAAGGATCTACTTTGTGATGTTTCTAATACATTTTAAAAACTGGTCATCATTTCTTCAACTGAAGATTAAAGCTTTTTGGAGTTTTAATGCCATAACGATGGAGCCTTCATTCTCTTAGTTACACACACTTCAATTTTAAAAAAAAATAAAGTGTTTAATTAACATAGACAAAACTATACATATCCATGTTGAAAAATTGAATAAACTAACACAATCTTTATGAATCACACTGGCATCATTGACCACTCAACACTTATTCAAGTTAGCTAACGAATTAACTTATTTGTGTATGCATTGTTTTAATTACTTAGGACAAACATGATTAAAGTGAACAAATTTGGCTATATTTTCTGATGAATGAAGCCTAAATAAGTCCTAACACTTGTGTTTCAGGAAGTAAGGCCAATGAAGGCCCTCCAGACACCTCTGACACATGGTTCTACTTTGTTTCCTGCCTCCTACTATTTTTTGGTTGCTTTGATGCAACAGTCCTTTTCTAAATTAGTGGGCACAGATAACCCCAAACACACAAAATATTTATGCAAAATTACAGAATGCATCAAACTTTCTCAAAAGCTGTCCTCAAACAGCCCATATTTGCAAGAAATGCAAGAAGCAATCTGACTGGCTGGTACGAAAACCTACCAGCCAATCTCAAGGCTTGTATTGTATAGGGCTGACTAATCAGCTCAATCATCATTTTTGGCTATTTTGCTGTTGGGCCGATAGATCAGCCGAGTCGTCTCCAAAGGGTTAAAGCTGTTTTCGATGCAGTAGTTCCATCATTTATGCCGCCTTTCGCTTGCTCGGTATCCATTATACTTCTTCTGTGTGGCTGTCTGTGACAGTTGGTATTGGGGCATTCTTATCAGATGGCCAAACCATATCATCAATTGCTCCTTAACAAACTGTATGACTGATTTCAGTAACAGCCTTTGTTTTTTCTGATTCCTTCTTCTTACTTTGAGCTCTTCTAAGACATCTCTGTGCACAGCAGTCTTTTATGGATCCAACAGCTTGTACTACAGCTAAACTTTGTTGGAGTTGCCTTTCCTGACTTTCCATTACAAACATAAATCTTTTCATTCAAGGCATTAGTTGAATGTCAACAAGATGTTGCTAAAAGGGACCATAATCAACTTCACTGCATTGGGTTTTTATCTCAAATGGCTTGGTCTGTCTCAGCAAAACCACTGATTGTTTGCTGAGAGCATATCTCAAAGCATGCAACTCTCTTGATTTGGCAATGACCCCCCAGAGATTCCTCTAGCACCATCATCAATCTGCAGGTTCTTTACAGAACGTTGCTCTCATCACAGCATGCCCGAAAGTCTCTCTATCTCTAGGTAGTTCTCCAGTTTTATAACCAATGTATTTCACTGTGTTGTATCCACATTTGTCTGCCTGAAACACTAGAACAAATTAAACTAAGCCAATTCCAAAATTAGGAGGTGGTGGTAAACCAACTTGAGTGGAGGTAGGATACCAAGGACACTCTGAACACAACAGTTCAGGACGTAGGAAAGTTAGCAAGAGATTGGCTGTCTTTCTAGTCTGCTGTGATGAGGTTGAGTTGAGTTAAGAGTCAAGAACTGACATCACTCTGGGTATTCCCATGTGTGCTCCATCCTCATCTTCAGCAGCCAGTGCAGAGTTCCAGTACTGAAGGTACCAGTCACAATCTGGTTATATGTCCGTCTTGCCTTTCCTCTGAGTGTAGTGAGCTGGCCAAACCCTCTGGTTACACCTAGGTGCTGATGAGCAACACAAGTTTTGCTAGGGACCGCTTACATGATAATGAAACCAGTCACTTTCTTATGTTGCTTCCTCACCTGCCACTTGTTACTGCTGTAATCTCTGGGAAGGACAACTCCAGCAGCACTTGCTCTTGGTCGTCAACCACATAGACACCAGTCCAGTTCACAGCGATGATAACATCATTCTTTGGCAGACTAGGCCCTGAGAATTTGCGGGCCTCGTAAAATCTTGAAAACAGCAGAGGCCATTTGTATCTAGCATAGCTAACTATGTCTTCTTTCACCTGGGAAGACAGCAAGTCACATATGTCAAATTATCAAATATGTAGCATATTGGTTTCTAAAATAGTCATATATGATACTCCCACTGCCAATCCAGTCAGCAATACATTTGATTATGATGATAATTAGGATACAAGCTTTACAAGTTAATTTTTATAATTGTTTTAGTTCTCAGTCAATAAAGGGATATGTTATGTTGAGACAAATAACTGAAAGTACACTTTAAATATGCGGCGTCCGTGGCTTAGGTGTTGCGAGTCCAACTCGTAAGCCAGCGTATCGCGATCGAAACCCACTGCTGGCTGCGTGGATTTTTATCATGGTACGTGGCGTCGCAGGTCGACTGAGCCTAAAATGGGTACCAGGATTGTCTGTCCTGGGAAAGTAAGGACAGCTGGCGTAATGCTGACCACATTACCCACTGATTGCTGATGGTCTGTAAAAATATGGGCGCTCTTCCCATATGCCCGACACGCCTAAAAGGGCGTGGAAAGGGATCTTTACTTTACTTTACTTTTACACTTTAAATATACTGAACTTGACAACCTATACTCCAACAAGCATATATAGCTGATATAAAAACCAGGCAATATTAAATAATCAAACCTAATTGATAAGCATAAAAAGAAGAACTATATTTCCCAATTATAACCTGGATGGGTTGAACAGAATATTGTTGTTTAAATTACTATAATAAGCCAAGATATCCAGACATAGAATATACAATTTCCACCTTTGAAGATTCCACTCTAAAGTCTTGGAAGTAGGGACTCTTCAGTTTATTTATCACTGCATTCATCCACATCTGAAGTGAGTTTGGCTTCTGAAGGCAAGATTCTGGAATGTAAGTTGGAAGCAGTGACTGGAGTCGCTGAATTTCTATGTTCTGACCATACTCTATGAAGTACTGTTGAGCTGCAAGCATAGCTATATCCTCATCCTGAAATGTGAAACACTCTGAACAGTTAAACCAAATTATTTTTTTTTTAGTAAAGGTAAGGCAAAAGTGAGAGTATCGACTTAATTGAACCAGGTTTGATCCCATATGGCTCAGTCGCTCTCTGCAAACAGCTAGCTGCCTGCCAAGAGCATCGCGCAGATCACAAACTCTGTAGCTCCGGCAATGATCCCCAGGGATCTCCGTAAAAATTGCACTCATGAACTGCATGGCGCTGTCATGAAATAAACCCACAACCTTTAGAGCATGAAGCTAACAGCTTGACCACTTTGAAACAGAGACACCCATTTTTAAAAAAAAAATTTTTATTATGATGAATTATTAAAACATGCAAAAATCAATCAACCAATCAATCAGAAAGCAAGTGCACTTATATACCAATTGTCACCATTATTAAGACATCCAAGCATAACTATGAGTGCAAAGAGACAGATTATTAATAGCATATTTATTCCAACATTAAGCTACCAGTGCCAAACATGGACACTATCTAAAGCCCATATACGCAAAATTACCACCTGCGAGATGAGGTGCCTGAGAAAAGCAGCCAACCTAACCTTCTGAGATCGAGTGAATAATAAAACTATCAGGCAAACTGTGGGAACGACACCTTGTACTAGATTCATCGAGAAACAGCAGATCAAGTGGTTTGGCCATCTCGTTAGAATGCAGCAAGATCAAATACCATCACAAGCACTACATCTCAGAAGATCAACTACAAGAGCAAGAGGACGGCCACGGAAAACATGGATCGACAACATTAAAGACACTCTACGCCTTCACGGCATGACAACAACCAGTGGCAGCCAACGTGCACTGGATTGCAAATTATTCCTCCCCACAACGCTTAACGGCAGAAGTGGTTCATGATGATGAAAATGATGATGAATTAATCAGGTGCAATCAATCAACCAACCAATCAGGAGCAATTTCAACAATTCTTCTGCTGCTGCTGCTGCTGCTTCTTCTTCTTCTTCTTTTTCTTCTTCTTCTTCTTCGTCTTCTACTGCTTCTGCTGCTTCTGCTTCTTCTTCTTCTTCTTCTTCTTCAGCTTCTTCTTTTTCTTCTTCTTCTTCTTCTTCTTCTTCTTCTTCTTCTTTTACTTCTTCTTTTTCTGCTCTGTTCACTCTTAAAAAGGTGGTTGGCAGCTGGGCTGAAATGGCTCAATAATCCAGTTTCAGTAAACTTCTAATTGGTCGCCTTTTATGACATGCTTGTTAAGGGACAGTGTGTCTATTCTATCTCCCATAAAATGGGGTCACCAGAAGATACACAGATAATTTCAGCAACGATTACCGGCTGGCTAAAGTGTCTCTCACAAAACTTTCTAGTCGTGCAGTAGTCATCATACAGAGACTGCAAATTTAGCCCTAAAGTTATGGCATGATAATTTCTGATGTTATTAGCTGTTACCCACAGACTCTGAAAGCATGCTGAGGAAGGTGAAGACAGGGATGCTGCGAGCAGAGTGGCAAGCTTCACTGGGAAGGTCACGTGTAGTGAGCATACTTTGGACTTTTTCTTCAGGCGTAGTGGGTATTGAACAGGCAGACAGATTGGCTGGATCTGCACCACTGGGTGGTGAATTGGTACATGACAAGGCAGATGTGGTCAAGGCCCTTTGGGAACAAGCAACAGAATCAGTAGAGAAACAAGATTATTATGGCCTGGAGAGAATGAGGCACCTGGGTGTAACCAGAGGGTCTGGCCGGCTTACTACACTCAGAGGTGAGGCAAGACGGACATATAACCAGATTGTTACCAGTACCATCAGTATTGGAACTGCACTGGCTGCTGAAGATGAGGATGGAGCACACATGGGAATGCCCCAAGTGCTGTGATGTCAATTCTTGACTCAACTAAACTCAACTCAACTACCTGTTATCGGTATTGACATCTTAACACATTTGAACTCCATCCTCTGGTGTAGGAGCCATCTCAGTGTCTCCATACTGAGCGTACCCAGTAAGAGTTGACCGGCATATCTTCTTCCTTTGCCCAGCAACCAGGTTCTCCATGCTTGTCCTCACTCAATACCTAGTATCCAACAGGTGATTCAGCACCGCTGACTCCTTTGCCTCAGCACCTCTGGAATACAGTGCCTCTGACCTACCCATATTTCTTCCTCCGCTAACCACTGCAGACACGGCCAGTCAGTCAACTCTTTCATTTTATTTCAATCTCACAAGTACCAGTGTATACAGCCAAAATAGTTTCGTGAGGCCTGAATTCTGGATACATTCAATCCAGTTTAATTGGAGTTTGCCAGTTTGGATCTTTTTAAACATTCTTATTGAGTCTGTAACTGTAAATGTGTGGGCTGTTTTCTATTCTGGCAACCATGCAAGTGCCTCTGTGACAGCTGCCATCTCCACAGTCATACTAGAAGTAGTTGAACTGAATTCTGGTGTTGACAATAACACAAATATATCACAGATGTGCTTTAGTGAACACAACAATATCATTTTGCAGACACAGGGCTGCTCAGGAAATATTCAGCATGGCTAGTACACCTGGGGTAGAAGAGTAGCGATATAGATTTAAATTAATTCTTTTTTCCTAAAGTCCATGTCGTGTGGCATTGGTAGTCATGTCTATCCACAACCTTCTGTTTTGTGTACTTTCAATCAACACTGATATAGATGATCCTCCATGTCAAAATGTCAAACTATCCAGATCTTTTCTCTCAGCCTCTCCTTCCCTCCAATTTGTATAGTGTCATGAAGTACTCTAGTTTTCTCCTTCCCATCACATGACCAAAGAATGCAGATTGTCTCTTTCTGATGTGGGCAATCAGTTCTCCTCATTAGTCAGTTTCTGTCAAGATGTCTTCATTACTCTTTTTTATCTGTCCAGGGAATTCTCATCACTCATCTATGAAACCACAGCTTCCAAATAATTTTTCGCTGACATAATTTTTTTAAAACAATGTCCATGATTAACATCTTTATATCAGGATAGGATTTATTTAGCTTTTAAGAATTCTCTTTCTCATCTCAACTGACAAAGTAGGATTACATAAAACATTTTTCATCTTGTAAAATGGTGCCTTTGCTTGAGCTATTCTATATCTAACATCTTTAATAAATCTTCCATCTGATGTTATCAGGGTACCCAAGTTCTTAAACATATCAACTTGCTTGAGGTTTGTCCCATTTACTTTGATGTTGCATTTTGCAGGGTTAGTTTTCTCTGTAATTAGTATTGTTTTTCTGTTGTTCAAACTAAGAATTAATTAATTATTCAGCTAAAATTAACAGATATTCTGTTTGCTTTAATTCATGTCTGGATTTATGTACCTATTTCTGTTTTGTTCATTATAATCATTTCAAGCTTATCTAATGCAAAACACAATCAAATTAGTGGCATCTGGCAGGTAACAGATGCAAGACTAAACATGTACTTACTTTATCACACCTGTACTCTCCAAACTTGATACCTCTAACAATCTGGAGATTAAAAATTAAGTAAAGGTTGAAGATAAAGAAAAGGTGCTAGAAGGTTTGACTTCATTGGCAACTATCGTTATGTGTCATGTCAGCAATCAAAGACAATCACGGTTCACAAAAGGGCACAATCGTTAAGTGTTTAAAGCTGTCCTTAGTTTTTCTTGATTACAGAAATTGGCCAAGCCATTAAGAAGATGTCATTCTGCTGCCTTTTGCTCTTTTCCCATCAAGGTTTACAGCTATTATTAGATTCTCCTTCTTCTTCTTAGCATTCAGGGGCTGTAAACTCCCACAAAAGGTTCTGGTTGTTCATCCATTTCAGGACGTTGGTCTTGTTCCAGAACTTTAGCTTTGCATGCACATCTGTTTTATAGATCTGATTTACTTGTTTGGAGACTTTTGGTTCCTTCCCTCTCAGGCAGATGCACTCTGACTTTGAAGGAAGCTCCCCTAATTAAACCTTGTACAAACTGCTTGTAAGCGAGGCAGTGAGTCTCTTCTTCTTTTTCTTTTGCTTTAAAAAAATGTGTTTTTCAAAGCCCAAAGTGGAGCCAGCCACAGAAACCACATGTGCAATGAGGTTCTATAATGTGTTTCTCCTTACCATCATCATGTAGCATATATTTTGTGGAATGTTGTTCTGATCAGTGCCAGCAGCAAGGCTTCTCAGACCTATGCCAATTCACCTGCCTCAAGCAGCTCCATATCCAAGATGTCTCTATTATCATGGGTGCACCCTCAAGCTGGCTGGCCTATGCCCCTTCTTCCATTCCTGTTCTTTCTAAATCTTCTTTTCCCTTTTCAGAACGATAACCTTTGAGATTCATAACTGCAGGTATCACCTGCCTCCATTCATCCTTCTCTTTTCGTTATGTGACACCTAACCTTTGTAGATCTGCCTGTATATTATCTCTCAAACAAAATTTGGATGTCCAGGCCCAGTTTCATCTTGAATCTTTTCCATGCCAGTTTTGAATCCTGAATACCACATGATGCCTCAAATAAATGTTGATTCATTTAAACTTGTCTCATTAATTCAATTGTCTCAATAGCCCTATTTTTCAAATTTAAGTTATTCAGTCCCAAGGAACACATCATAAGTTCATAGGATCCTACCTGGAAGCCCAGTGAACACAAGTTGCACCGAGTATATGTTTCTCTTTACCACCCCTTGGACCTCTTATGCTAAACCCCCTGGGATTGAAAGAGTTAAAACATATTTAATATTTGTCTCTGCTCCATGCTGCTTAAGTAACAAAGCATCTCTCACTAGCTGAACAAAATCGGAGATTATTTGTCAACTGCTGGCAGGTTGGCATTGCAATCTGGCCAATTCACAGAAGGATGGTGCCTGTTTGGATGCCATGCTTTGCTACATGGATGGCGTTTTTGTTTTTGTTTTTTTTTCACCATAATAAAATCACTCTTAATTGAATTGTTGGACTGTGTACATGAACCAGATTCTTACAGAAGGAGCTTGTTGCCAAACATGTCCCAAGAAACATCTAAAAAAAATCTGAGTTTTATAATTTAGCTGAATGTTCTCTGCCACTGACAGCCTCACCTGCTGGTAGATCAAATTTGTAGCTATTGCATCTTCACTTGGATCGTGCCAGGGTGCAAAGATTTCCTTTCGGAAGAACAGTCTCCAAGGGGCATTACGTTCTTGTGCCCCTTGTTCTTTCGCATACTGTTCACACTGTGAGATGGCGTCCATGACATGGTCTCCTCCGCTTCCCAGTGATGAGACCTGGATAGAAACGTGGCAGCTAGATTCACTATGGTTTTAAACTTTCACAAGAAAAACAAAATGAACATTGCTCTTTACATGTTTTGTAATATTTCTACACAAGATAAATTCATCATCATCATCATCATGTACTCTGCTGAAAAACATAGGCTGTTAGGTTTCACCATCTCATGCAATCACCAGAACCACAACAGATCAAATCAGTGCTCTTATCTTACCCCATCTATGTGGCCAAAGTCATCATCCAGGTATTTATCTCTTTGCCTTCCCCTTGATCTTTTTCTATCAATCTGATCAGTTCTAAACAATTTCATGAGTCCCTCATGAAAAATTTTTTAAAAACTGCCAATTACTGCCTTTATTTTAATACTTTTGCGGTGTAGGCATGGGGGTCTTTGAGAGGACTTACAGCCACATGGCTAGTGCTGTCGCCACGACTGTGCAGGTGAGGATTGTTTTTCTCCGACAGAAAAAAAAAAAACCAGCCTTACCGATTATTTGAACCTAGGACTCCGGCTTGAGAGCCCAATGTTCTAACCATTTGGCCATCTGCACCTCGCCGCTCATAACATGTCCAAAAAACATTGTCAAATTTCTCTAATGAGTTTACAGTTTGCTTTTTTATCATGTCAAAACATTCTTTGCATTCTTCTCAAAATACAAAATATATAAACAACATTTTAATGTTTGGATTTAGAAACTCTAGAGGTCAGGGAGAAAAATCATTGGAAATAAGTTTGCAAGTATGGATTAACGCTCCCAGAACTGGAGGTGTTATCATCACTTCAAAGTGTTAAGTTAAATTCTGGATAGACGCTATAGCTTTAAATTGCCATGTTTCCCAACCTTTGGTCTGTTTCAAAATCAAATGAAGAAATTGCATGGATGTTTCTGCAATGCTTCATCTAAGACACAACTCTCCAGACACACATTGTGGTGCAATGTCAGCCAAAAGTGTGCTGCAGTTCATGTGTGAGACTTTAGTGCTGGCACATCTGACAACTGTCTTATGTATTTTGTACTTTGTGTGTACAAGCTTCAAGATTTTGCTGGGACAGGATTTTTTCACTAGTGCAAAATGAAGCCTTGCAAGTCATTATGGGGTATACATGAAACACACCAATCGTGCGCATGTGGCGCATACCTGCATTGCCAACTGTAATGAAAGAGACAAGGTGTTACAGGCTAAAGTGTACCTTAAAGTAACAGCAGACACGGATCATCTTCTATATGAGGCCTTCAGGGATAGCAAGGGACAATGGCTGAAAAGAGGCAGCTCTGGGATGGCACATGAAGAAGTCACTAGAAGAAATGTTTGTACTACTGACACAATTGTGCATGGTGAGGAATGAATCACAGCGCCAACCAACAAACTGACCTAGCGTAGAGTTAGAGTTACCTTGGACTGAGGGTGCCGGGAGTAGATGGCAGGTGAAACATTAAATTTAAATTTTAAAAATCATTTTTCTACTTCTGTTTGCGTGCTGGAAATTACGAAATACTTGTAAGCAATCTTGAATTCAATTAGCATAGCTATAACAGACAAGGCCTTCTTTAACAAGTATTGTGTTCAGTGATTTGTGAATAAAGACTGAATCATCTGGATTCAGTTCCCAGAAGTGGCAGAATAATTTTTTCAAACAATAGGACTTAGCTGACAAAATTGTGAAGAGGTTAAGATTTGTCACTCTGATGGAGCATTCTAATGAAGAAATTAATTGCCGTGCTCTAATGAAGAAAGTCCATTGGCTTCAGACTGTCCTTCAGTTCACATGAGCAGATGTTATGGAGGTCCCTGAGGAGTTATTGTTGGAGCTACAGAGTTTCATGCTTTCTATGAAAATCTCAGCAAGCAGTAGCTCTTCTACTTCTTCTTCTTCTTCTTCTTCTTCTTCTTCTTCTTCTTCTTCTTCTTCTTATCTTCCACCTTGTACCTCATTGAAGTGACAGGGGGAGATGTAACATTCATCGATGAGCTCTATCAAGAGCGCTATTAAGAATGATGTTTATTTCTGTAAGACTGTTCTTAATACCATCACTCCATATTTACTGAGGTCTTCAACTCGGTCTATACCCACTTTAGTGTGGTTCACTGTGGATGATGGTACCAGGGCATTCTTGTTAGGTGTCCAAACCACTTCATTTGTTGTTCTTTGATGACCTGTAAGACTGGCTTTATTTCTAGCATTGTTCTGATTTCGTATTCTGTCTTTCCCTTTTAACTCCTGCAGCTCTTCTAAGGCATTTCATCTCTGTTGTCACAACTATATGTTCATTGAAGGATATAAGCTCTTCCACAGAGACATAAAACAAGCTAGATGGGATCAAACCAAGTGTAAATAATTCTTCCTCATGGCATCTGGTACTTGTAGTCACGTCTATCCACAACCTTCTGTCTCATGTACTTTCAGTCAATTCTGACACAGATCATATTCTATGCCATGATGTAAAACATGTCTAGAACTTTTCTCTTGGTCTCCCACTGCCTCTTTTCCCCTCAAACTTTCCCCACCATCAAGATGTACTCCAGTTTGTTTCTTTCTCATGAGATGCCCAGAGAAGTACTGGTCACCACTTTAACAGTACCAGACAGAAGATGCCTCTATAGGCACAAGTGAGTCTCAGAGAAAAAAAACAGCAACCTACTAGTAGTATATTTCAAAGAAAGGCCATGTCATGCCTCACTTTTAAGTACTCTTTAAATTGATTCCTAACAATTGTGTGAATGATCAATAAGAGGACAGGGAGGAAAAAAACTGGCTACCCAATGTAAAAAAATGAATTAAGACTTAAAATCACGGCCCACAGGACACTCCCATAAGCACTCTATTCCCATCTTCAGCAGCATGCACAGAGATCCAATTCTGATGGTACCCGAAACAGTCTGATTGTATGTCTGTCTTTCCTTTCCCCTGAGTGCTGAGCATCAGCCGGATCCCCAGGTCACTTCCCTAAGCCCCCAGGATAATCTATTTGTGCCTCAGCACTGTTTATTCACTCTCATAGGACCCTTACAACATCTAACTTGTCATGTATCAGTTCACCACTAAATGGTAAAGTCACCACCAAATGGTGCAGTACCAGCCAGTCTATCTGTTTATTCATTTTACAAAACATCAGCCCGGCTCTCTAGCGCAGTTTGCTAAACCGGATTGCACGGAGACCGGGTGACGAACTCCTTGTGGTCCGGGTTCAATCCTCAGAGTAGGCAGAAAAGCTATATTTTCTACCAGATATACGGTATTTACAATGGAATCAAGGCTGAAAGGTTGCAATATCCATAATACCAAGCCTAAGGGTTAACAACTCATGGCTTCTGGATACTAAAACAAACAAAACAAACACAACACATCAGCACAATCTGGAAAAAATATCCAAAGGACGCTAACTACTGAGACTTTGGAAGTAATGCTTGCCACTCTACTCAAAGCATACATGTCTATATCTTTCTCTGGCTACTCCATCTAATATTAGATAGATGACTATGCTATCTAATACCCTTAGGTGTAAAATATGTGAAGATCTAAAATTTCACACTGTAGTTGATATCCATCATAAAACCACATTTATGTGCTTCAGTAACTAATAAAATCACTCACTTTGTCAAAAAGAGCAATGTACAGTGAAAATCCAAACTTGTCCTTGAGTCCAATCTTGTCTGCCAGTTGTTGACAGAGTTCCCTGGCAGTAGTGGCTGAATCTGCATACACTGTTTTAGAGCTGCTGTCCATGAAAGTGATGGGTAGGATAATTGGTTTCTTCGACTTGGTCGCCTTGGAAAGAAATAAAAATGTAGCGATTACCTGTATTATTCACATTGGCCAAATAAAATAATCTGTCAGAAAATTTTTGTAATATTGTCCTAAACTATCCTTAATCGGCACATCAAGCTACTATCAGTCAACATATTAATATTTTCAGTCCCAAACAAGGTGTGATGTGTGACCAGCACTTCAATGAATCCCACCCAAATGTAGTATGTTCTAGTCCTTCTCACAGTTGGTTACAGTATATCAAGAAATTTGGCTTACCCGGTATTTAGCATCTTTGAAAGCAAAACACTAATGGTTTTTCCTGCTGCTTATTTACACATATGGAAAAATTCAGTATAACCTTCTGGTACTCAAGGAGTTAACTATGAGTGTTGCAAAGGTCAACATAAGGGCTGCTAATGCCATAAAAAATCCAATTGGCAAGCCCTGATCAACATCATTTACTTTTTAACAAGGAGGAAGGCTATAGAAATCAATATCCTATATTAAAATAAAAAATAAGTATCTGTAAGCTTTCTTCTTCTTCTTCTGCCTTTCTATCCCCCAATGGAGCATAGGCCCTCAACCAACTCACGCCAAGTCGTTCTATCCTTCGCCATTGCATGGAGCTCTCCCTATGTCCTCCCAATATTTCTAACCTCATTCTCCAGCTCTCTTCTCCATGTGTTTTTTGGCCTTCCTTTATTCCTATGCCCCTGTGGGTTCCAATGCAAAGACATTCTAGTTATGCTGTTCTCCTGTTTTCTCAGTGTGTGCCCTATCAAACGCCAGCGTCTTTTCCTCACCTCCTGATCCACTGGAGCCTGTTTAGTTCTCTCCCAAAGTTCTACATTAGTTATTCTATCATACCATTTTATTCCCTCTATTCTGCGCAAGCACTAGTTAATGAATGTCTGTAATTTATTAGTAATTGCCTTGGTTGTTCTCCATGTTTCCGCCCCATACAATAGTACTGATTTGACATTAGAATTAAAAATTTTTAGTTTAGTATTTCTTTTAATTTCTTTTGACCTCCAAAAATTCCCTAGTGCTATGAAAGCCCCTCTTGCCTTTTGTATTCTTATTTTAATATCTCTATCAGTTCCTCCATCTTTATCTACATTTCTGCCTAAATAGGTGTACGACTCCACGTCTTGGAGTGGGGTGCCATTAACAGAAACCACATAACTATTTGCCTGATTTATTCTCATTATCTTTGTATTTCCTTTATGTATTTTCAGACCAAGCTGCTGTGATCTCGCATTAAGTATATTTAATTTATCTTGCATCTGATTCCGTGAATGGGACAGAAGAGCAATATCATCAGCAAAGTCCAGATCATCAAGCTGTTTTGTAGGGGTCCAATGAATTCCATTCTTGGTGTTAGCAGTTACTGTTTTCATAGTCCAGTCTATAGCCAGTAAAAATAAGAGAGGCGACAAAAGACATCCCTGTCGCACACCTGTTTTTATTTCAAATGCATCTGTTAGCTTTCCCTCATGAAGAACTCGACATTTCATGTCTTTATATGTTATTTAGCATCTTTGAAAGCAAAACACTAATGGTTTTTCCTGTTGCTTATTTACACATATGGAAACATTTAGTATAACCTTCTGGTACTCAAGGAGTTAACTATGAGTGTTGCAAAGGTCAACATAAGGGCTGGTAATGCCATAAAAAATCCAATTGGCAAGCCCTGATCAACATCATTTACTTTTCAACAAGGAGGAAGGCTATAGAAATCAATATCCTATATTTAAATAAAAAATAAGTATCTGTAAGCTTTAGTTGGCTAAATTTCCATCCATCTGTCTGCAGCACCACAGGAAATGTTAAAATAAATTCAGCAAAATCTCGACAGTTTTCATATTTTGTAACTAAAATTTGGTTCTTATCACAATACTATCCACATGTAAAGAGTTACTTCCCATCCCATTAGATTCCCCGCTGGGTGATATAATTTTATTCAGTTTCGTCCTTTTTAGGACGAAATTTTTTGTTATTTGAAGCCCCACCCTGGCTTTTGCCAGGGGCCGCAATATAGGCAGGCCATAAATATGGCCAAATGTCTGAACGCGGTTTCTGGGACCTCTCCACGGCGATCCTCATCCATATGGTGGCACTTTGTGTCATCGGGTGTTTATCGCTTGTGTGATGTCCTGGTGGGGTAGAAAGTCAGTCAGTCAGTTCCCATCCCATTCATGTCACTACCACTCACACGGTCTGTCCTATGTTGTGATGGTGTCAGGTATTCCTTATTTTCAACAGTTCAACTGATCCTTGTTTTCTTGTGTTGTCACCGCTTACTTGCGAGATTACTGGCATGTTGCCTTACTTGTTTCATGAGTTGTGAAACTGGGATGTTTTTGTATTTCTACTTTCCTTGATCATCGCTTCTTTTTCTGGGGCAAAAGCCATCTCTAAGGAATGCAGAAATATAAAAACATCCCAGATTTGATACTCACAAGCCATCGTGCCTGCAGCACTTCCCCCTGTAGTACTTCTTACTGGTACACAGGCGCCTGTGGTGCCTCAAAGAGACTAAGGACAACATAACCTCCCATAAACACTGTATACAGCGTGCGAACACCGAGCGAAGCCATATCCTAACATCCCCACAAAATTGGGAGGTTGTGCGATTGGCTGCAACATGAATGGGATGGGAAGTAACTCTTGCTGTGCGGATAATATCGTGATAAGTTCCTAATAATTTTCTTTATGTTTCTAGTTTGTTATTGTCATATGCAGCCATTCTTACCTGAAGCTCCAACCAACTTGGGGGCTGGCTCCTGGCACCATTCATTAATGTTCGTCTCAAATTCTTCACACAGTACGGGGCATAGCTAGGTGGACCATCTTGGATGAAACTTAGCAGGTAGGGCCTCAACTGTAAGAGCATCAGAGTCATTTAAGTATTACCTCAACAGTAAGAACATCAGAGCCATGCAAGTGTTAATAAAGTACTTTATACAATCTGATGAAGATTCTAACACAGAATCATGACCTAGAACTAGGTGTTCCAACCATTGCAGGTATCCTCAAATTAACACTTTAGCACCATACAAATATTGTTAACAATGACCTCTTTCAAAATCTTGTTACAATTATTTTTAAAAAAAATTTTTTTTTAAACAGCACCAATATAATTCTATGAAGCTAAATACTAAGAAATAAAGACAGAGAAGAAGCAGCAGAAGAATTTTGAAGTCTTGGTCTGTTTTTATAAAAAAATTAAGGGTTGGAAACCTATTGCAATAAAAAGTCACTAAATAATATAGGATTTTTTTATATTCAGAGTCATTATTCTGTGCAAAAGTGATTTTTTTTTCAAAATGGTGGGAAGTAATCAATAACTACAAACATTGCAGAGAAATAACCACTTTCCTTCAATTTAACCAAGTAAGTTGTGGTTTTCTTGACACAGTGAACAAAGTGCATCATCACAATGACCCCAAAAGAATTACATTTTTTCTACCCTAAATAATAGATTTAAAAATATTTTTTTGGGTTGGAGGTAAATATCTGGTAATCTGGTAATCCTAGTTAAATATAATTATACCCACCACATCTACACACAAGACAGCTGCATCATTACCAAAGCTGTTAAATAAAGATGTCATCATTTCCCATCGTAATGTGGGAAGCAATTGTTCATTATTTTGAAGCCCCACCCCAAAAGTAGTTGTACAGCCTTTGTGGGGTTGAACGACATACAATTAAGATGCCATGGCATGAAAAACCTGCAAAAGTTGGACAAACTAGCTTTCTTGGGCCGACATTGTTGAAACGCTTCTCTATCATGCCAGTGGTGCCTTTGAATGGTGAAAATATGGGGGTGACTGCAGTCAAGCTAATACATTCCAGAGAAATTTGACTAAAAAGCTTACTTAACCAAATGGGGAAGCAGAAAAATGTGCACAAAAGAACACAAAGAATGAAACGTTTCGGCCGGGCAGCCTTTGTCAAACGTTTCCTTTTTAGTCAAATTTCCCAGGAATTCAGTGGTGCCTCTGGCATAAGATGCTAGACTCGTATCTCAACAGACCAAAGGGTGATGTGGTCAACATCATTTGGTCCCTTCATTTCCCATGAAATGTCCTGGTACCATGTACACATATTGGAAGCTAAGGTCAATTTTAAAACTCTTAACTTATGGATTCAAACTTATTCTAGCCACTGTGCTTTCAGCTTCCAGCTAAGTTGCAAGACATTCTTTTCATAAAGAACAAAATCAATGTATCAGTGAGTAACACATGTTTATACCTTGTCCGAAGGTGGGAAGCAGCAGACGCACAGACACAGCAAAATCCAGCCTCGAGCATGGGAACTCTTGGAGTAGTTGTCAGTTAGTTGTTTGCAGATCTGGCAGTAGATCTCATCTCTGGTATGTGGTAAAATTATAAACAAACACATATTTATTTATTAATGATATAAACAAGTATGTAACGTATAATTACTAATTAAAAAATACACAAACAAAACAGTGTCTTTAAGTAAAAATATAAACAAGTACAAACACACACACATATATCATATTAGGCATAAAGGGCTTGACCTATATTTTATAAACCAATCGGCACTTGGTGGGTGATGTAGTCAACATCACGCTGGCCACCTTCACTTCCCAGGACTGCACCTGGTACCCACGCAAGGCTGACTCAACCTTGAAACATATATTCACACACACACACACACACAAAACAAATATTGACAAACATAACATCTACAGAATAACGAATATAACTAATACCTGATATCTACATATATAAACAAATTACACCTATGTAGCAACTACTATAAACAAACATGATTATCCGTATCACTCTTAGGCGTTGCAATGTGCTTTGTAATGTCGGGGTGCTGGGTTGGATCACAGCTGCGGAGGATTTGTCTTGAGTTGGTTTCCACAGTGGTACAGAGCGCTGACCATTCAGAAGCAATGGCAAATTAGTTAATGTAAAACTCGCCTTAAAAAAACCACTTACTTTACTTTACTTTTTCCTTCCACGTATGCCGCTAAGCGTTGTGGGGAGATGCAAGTTCCTGTCATAAGCAAGGCGGGCAGCATCTGATGTTCTGAGGCCATGCTTTTGGCAGGTTTCGGAGACCCCGTCAATCCACGGTTTCCTTGGTCTTCCTCTTGCCTTATATCCTGAGCTTCTTTGGTTGAAAATTTGTGATGTTATTTGATCATTTTTCATCCTGGTTAGATGTCCAAACCATTTCATTCTTTGATGTTCTATGTAGTCTAAACATGGTGTAGTTTTGACAGTGTTTCTAATGTCTATATTCTTTATCCTGTCTAGTCTGGTCTTATTCGCTGCTTTTCTTAGACATTTCATTTCACAGACTTCTATTTTTCTTTCATGGGTCTTGTTGATTGTCCATGTCTGGCACTGGTAGCAGAGTGTTGGAATGAAGATGGTGTTTATCAATTGTCTTTTGGTCTTCATGGTTATATCTGGATGTTTAAGCAGAGGTGATAGTTGGTATGTGACAGCATTTGCTTTCTGTATTCTTGTTTCTATCTCTCTGTCCATTCTTCCATCCTCTGTAAATATACTGCCCAAGTATTTGAACTCTTTGGTTTGCTTGATTTTGGCACTTCCAACATTTATATTCAGTGGCCTGTGTGTTCTGCTGATCTTCATAACTTCTGTTTTTTCTGTACTGATTCTCATATTATGTTGTAAACAGCTGTTGTTGAGAGTAGTCAGATGTTCCTGTAGATCATATTCATTTTGATACAGTATGCTTTGATCATCAGCAAAAAGTAATTCGTTTATAGCATACACGTCTGGGTTTGCTTCTACAGTGATCTTATCCATGTATGTTATGAAAAAAAAAAAAAAAAAAAAAAAAAAAAAAAAAAAAAAAAAAAAAACCACAACAGCCAAAAAAGATGCTGGGGTTGGTTCTGCAATGTCTTGTAAAGGATATGCAAGTAACAGCAACTTTACTGTATCAATATTTTAAGATGTTCTATGGTAAAATCAAATCACGTATTACCATGATTACCTTAACACTCAACTTTTCAGTTATTAACTCTTTGAGTCCCAAAGAACGCATCTTACGTTCATAGGTTCCTACCCATAAGCCCAATGAACGTATGGTGCGCCGATTTTATGTCTCTTTTCGCTACCCCTTGGGCCTGTGATGCTAAACCCCCTGGGACACAAAGAGTTAACTAACACCCAAAAAAAATCATACCTGAGTTCGGGTCTCAGAATGCCATGTCCAATAATAAAGTGTAGTTTCTCCAGATTTGACATCGGCCGGTCATCTAACAAAACATTCCCTCCTCCATTTACTTCGGTGTCATAACCATGCTGCAGCCGGTTAGCTACATCCTCGGTTATCTTTGACTTTTTCTTTAATGTCAACGAAACCATCTTCTTTCGTGCTGATCTTTTGTTAGCATTGCGGCTGTACAGCATATTGGCAGCCTCTTTATCCTGTATTTTTTTTTTTTTCAGGAAGAAATTGTTTGATATGTATTGCTGAAGGAGAGATTAATATTACAACTTTACATACAGTAGGCCATAATACAGTTAGGTTTGATGATTACAATTTGTTCTGAAAAGTCGGCCCCACTTCAGAAATGTGTATCATTATGGTCTGTGGAGAATATCGCTGCGAGGAGTTACCATGAGATTTGGCTGATGCTCAAACTCAGGGGAAGGATGAGATGGATATACAATCAGACAGTTATTGGTACCATCGGAATTCAAACTCTTTGTTTGCTGCTGAAGATGGAGACTGAGCACTTAAGGGAGGGTCCCGAGTGCTGTGATGTCGATTCCTGTCATGATAGTACTTCAGGTGTATAAAATACTGGCAGCTTTTTCATCATAAATTTTTCAAAGAAAACAACTGCTTGACAATGTTGATTGTTGAATTAAAAATCTACCACAGCACTCTGGACATTCCCACAAATGCTCAGTCCCAATCTTCAGCAGCAAGCAAAGAGTTCTAATTCTGATGGTACCAATAACTGTCGTTATATCCGTCTCATCCTTTCCCTGAGTGTTAAGCGTTGGCCAGATTCCCTGGTAACTCCTTGGGGCGCCATTCTCCTTAGATGGTAATGATCTATCAACACCTCCTCACTGTTCACTCGCTCCCAAAGGGCCCTCACAATATCTAACTTGTCATACATCAATTCACAACCAGGTGGTGCAGAGCCAGCTAGTCTATCTGCCTGCTCATTTTCCACCACACCGGCATGACCTGGAGAAAATATCCAAAGGATGCTAGCTACCCGGGACCTCTGAAATCTGCTTGACAAATACTGATGAAGTTGTGTAGAATATTAAAGCCTTACATGCACTTAGTCAAGGTAAAATAAAATGAGATGACTTGTTTCCCTTCATTATAAATTTGAAATTTCCCTGGCACTTCACATGAATGTCATGAACTTCTGCTGATTAGATGAACACAATCTTTCGAGAGACTATTTATATTTCAGTGGAATTTATTCAGTTTTTGTGTTTCAATTTGTCCTGATGTAACATGATGTATTAACACACCTGACAAGATAGAATGTGCAATGTATTGAATGTGTCCGCATTATTTAATCAAAATAGCTATTAAATTAACAGTTAAAAAGAAATTATAACCATCATCATTATTTTCTTGTGCCCTCTGTAGATCACATATGGCCTGTAGAAGGATTCTCAGACTACTACGGACAAAGAAGAGAAGTACTGACATTTTAAAAGACCTGAACATTAAGGAAAACTGGCTAGTAAGCAGCATCTTGTCTCTGAAGCTGAAATATTTTGGTCATATTCAGAGCCATTGTGGACTGGAACAAACAGAAGGCATGATACCAAGAAGAAGGGGCAGGGACTGACCATCATGATGATGGGAGCAATATGAAAGGGCATTAGGCAGGAGAGTTGGTGAGAGACCGAGATTCTTTCAAGCAGACATGATGAGAGTGATGTTCTGCAAAGGTCCTCCTACATGATAACCATGATGGCCTGTAGATGATTCTTCCACTCCATCATATCCTATGCCAATCCTTTCAATATCATGTAGGCCAGTTTTCCAACAGTAGTAGGTGCCACTGTGGTATAGCGGCTAGATGCTTGCCTTTGGATATGAAGGTAGCGTGTTAAAATCTGAATAAGCCAGACTATTTTCCAAAAATGACATTGGTTCCCAGGTCTACCCAACCTTAAATGTGTACCGGGTAAAGTCCTAGGAAGTAAAGACACCGGTTGTGATGCTGACCACATCACTCACCGAGTGCCGATTAGTTTTTTCAACATTTGTCTAGCACTATGTGTCCTACATACCTGATGGCATGGACAAGTTTCTTCATAATTTATTTATTTTTTTAAACCTCTGGCAACTCTCACTGATTTTTGTCATTGTTGTTGTTGTTGTTTTGTTAGATGTCCCCACTTTCCTTCATATTCCGGTCATTTCCCATTTCAATGCCTGTTTAGTGATTCCTTGTTCAATCTTAGTGTGTATTTAAGAGTTATGTAGTGTACATGCCTGGCCACAGACTTCTGCAGACTGGCTTCCTAACAATACTGTTAAATGATTCTGTTCATGTACTCCATAAATTCCATCTCCCTTTTCTTTCTTCTTCTTCTTCTTTTTCTTCTTCTTCTTCTTCTTCTTCTTCTTCTTCTCTTCCACCTTGTACCTCAGTGAAGTGTTGGGCGGAGATGTAACATTCGTCGATGAGCTCTGTCAAGAGCACTATTAAAAGACTGATGTTTATTTCTGTAAGGCTGTTCTTAACCCACTGACTACCAGCATCGCACGTAATGCGACGAGGCGACGTTTACTTCCTGTTGCCAACGTCACACTCCTTGCGATTTTAGCTTTGGATGATTGCCGTCATGTTAAAATCGCGATTTTTGTGATGAATTTAGTTGCAGCCTTTAGCTTGTCCACTTCTCTATGATTAATTAAGGGAAATAAGTCCGTGGTGCCCAAGGTACAAATTTGAAGAATTTTCTTAGTTAGCTCCCGTGTCAGTAAGACTGACGAAATTTGCATGATGGCGTCAAATTCTCGGAACACTCATGGTGGTCGTATTGCGGCAGTTTCTGATACTGATAGTTCTTGTGAGAGTATTCAGTCAGAGCCCATAGATTATGAAGATTTTGTGCCTGAGTCTGCACATGAGGAAGATATAATTGCCACTTTTGATTCAGAATCATCATCATCTGACGAGTCTGGGGAAGATTTGCCACGCCCACCACTGGTTGACGACTGGCAGTTTTATTTGGAAGGTTTTCCTGAAGTACCCCCATTTACTGGCACTTTAGGTTTATTTCTGCCAGAAGGAACAAATGAACCACTGGATATTTTTTATATTTTCTTCAGTAAAGAAATTCTTGCTGTGTTTGCGAAAGAAACAAATCGTTATGCTGAGGCAGAGATCGGTGTAAAACGAGACAGCTGTTTTGCCAAGAACTGGAAACACACAACCCCAAATGAAGTGAGAGGGTTTCTTGTACTGTTGCTTCACATGAGTGTTGTGAAAAAGCCGTCTATTTCAGACTACTGGAGCATACATCCATTTATCCACTCACCATTTGCTGCCACCATCATGTCACGGAGGCGTTTTCAGATCCTCCTATCTGCATTTCACATTGCAAATAATGCTTTTCAGCTGCCTGTTACAGATCCTCACCATGATCCATTACATAAAATACGATTTTTTTATGAACACTTGAGAAAGCTGTTCAAATCATTGTGCACTCCAACTAAAAAAATATGTATTGATGAAGCCATGTGCCCATGGAGAGGACGTCTTCGCTTCAAGGTGTACATGAAGGATAAACCCAACCCATGGGGTATAAAGATGTATGAACTGTGTGAATCAAGCTCTTCATATGTGTTTGACTTTGAAATGTATGCCAATGTGCCTGGTCTTAGCAATAAGCCAGTGGATGTTTGTATGAGGCTCCTGCAACCACTTCTAAGTCAAGGTTACTGGTGCTACATGGATAATTATTATTCATGCCCTGAGCTGTCACATCGACTACTGCAGAATGGAACTATCTCAGTTGGAACTGTTCGTAGCAACAGAAGAGGTATGCCTAAGGATTTAGCAGCTCAGAAACTAAGTCCAGGAGAGACGTCATTTAGAAGGCAGAGAAACCTAGCTGTACTGAAGTGGAAAGATAGACGAGAAGTCAGTCTGATCACCACAGTCCACAATCCTTCCACAATGATTGAAGTTCAGACTAGAACTAGAAGGCAGATAAAACCTGAAGCCATCAATGATTATTCCCATAATATGTCAGGAGTTGACATCAGTGACCAGTTGCTGGCTTATGTCCCTCTTACACGTCGTTCTTTGAAATGGTGGCGGAAATTATTTTGTCATTTGTTTACTCTTACTGTTATTCAGAGTCACACACTGCATCAGAAACTATTAGTGAAAAATGGAAAGCAACCTCTGAAGTTGCAGAATTTTATTTCACAGCTGGGGAGAGCTCTTACCTTGGATTATTTCAGCAAAAAGAGAGCAGCAACACTTTGTACTCCAAAAAAAGTGTAGTGTCCTTGAAGCATCTGACAGACAGACACTTTGCTTCTCCACTTTTACCAACAGCTTCAAACTCAAAACCCAGAAGAAGGTGCACAGTATGTGTACAGAAAGATAAATGTAAAAATCCAGAGAAAAAAAGCCCACAAATGGACCATGACAAGTTACTGGTGCAGGGAATGTCAGGTGCCACTTTGTATTGAACATTGCTTTGAACTGTACCATACCACTGATAAATTTTGGCTGTAATATTTGACAAATGTGAGTTTTATATATCTTCATCTGTTTTGTTGCATTGATATTCAATTGCACCCCATATTCTAACAACTTTTTTCCTTGAAATGTGTTCTTCATTCAATTCGGTGCAAATAATATCAGATAGTATGAGTGATCTTGAACAGTTGATAAGCTGTGACATTTTTTTGGGTCTGTATTGTCAGATAAAGGATTTTTCAGTTGCTTTTTTTGCAACAATCTACAGCCACATGATGATGATTATTTCAGACAAAATAAGCCCCATTTTTGTTCTTCAAATGTGTTCTCGGTTCAATTTTGTGTAAAAATACAATAAATGTTTGTTGAAAATTTTTGAAAATATAACGTTTTTATTGGTCTATGTTGTTGTCAGATAAAAGATTTTTCAGTTGCCTTTTTTGCACCAATCTACAGCCACATGATGATGATGCAAAACAGAATAAACAACGTTTTTTCCCTTGAAATTTGTTCTTCATTCAATTCGATGCAAAAATACAAAATATTGTGAGATTATGTCAAATAGTTGTGAAGCTATGGCATTTTTAGTACACACTAAAATACGTGGTATCTGGGGAAATGCAAGGGTTAATGGGCTTGGTAGTCAGTGGGTTAATGCCAACACTCTATTTTTTTCCGAAGTCTTCCACTCGCTCTATACCTGTTGTAATATTTTAGTGGGCCCGCTGTGGCAGATAGTACTAGAGCATTCTTATTAGGTGTCCAAATCACTTTATTTTTTGTTCTTTGATGACTTGTAAGACTGGCTTTATTCTTATCATTCGTCTAATTTCCTTTTTCTTTACTGTCTTAAATTGTGATCCAGTGATTCCTGTAGCTGTCAAAACATCAAAATTGTTCTTTTTCTTCTCTTGAACAAAAATCATCAATATTCTTCTCAAAAACTTCTACTGATCATGCTAGTTAGTTAGTTAGTTAGTTAGTTGGGTTATCGTCATTGCACTCCGGACATGTCCATAGGTGCTCAGATCCTCCCCTCAGTATGAACCCCAACGTCCGATGGCTAATAGTACCAGTTCTATGTTGATTAACAAGTCTTCTGACGTGTCCGGTGTGCGTCTCGTTTTTTGCTGTGCCGATCTTAATTCTCAAGTCTGCCATTCTGGCGAGTGATGTGGATTCACTGCCACCAAAGTCCTCTATCCTTCCCATTTCTCTGAGGGCATTGATAATATCAGCATGATCCATAGACCGACCGTCGGTAGTGATAGCGGATCCAGCCAACCTGTCAGCTCTTTCATTTCCATCGACGCCTGCGTGTCCCGGAACAAAAATAAAGGTGACTCCACGCACAGTGGACTTCTGTAATGATTCAAGCCATTGTCTTCGCACTGAACCTGCCTGAACCCTCCGGATCATACTCATTGAATCACTGAGTATACATGTGCGGGTGTATTTTTGTGTTTCAAGCCAGGCAAACGCTTGCGTCACTGCCATCACCTCCATCGTCATGCTGCTGGTTGTCATGGAGAAGGCACCGTTGGCTTCTTTGACTGTTCTGCCCGCTGAGCGTGCTGTAAATGCCCATGCGCTTCTTCTTTGGCGTATAACGGATCCGTCTGTGTAGATTAGTGCATCTGCTTCGTCTGAATTTTCACCGATGAGAGCGTTGACCTCTGCATTAACAGCAACAGGATTCTCTTCTCTACATCGCCTGTTGATCATGCTATAATAGTGCTATGAAAATTAAATATATGATGTACAGTAAACACTTATTACCATTTCTTCACCTAGCTTCATGGCTTCTTCCAAGTCCTTCTTGTTAAATTTGCGACCCAGAGTTGAGTAGATTTTGGTCATCACTGGAGTACTGTCCTACACACATAAAATATTTTTGTTGCTTTTTAAAAATGTGTAAAAGTAAACCTTTCTACATACTCTTGGTGGTTATACCATCAAGGGAATTCTATAATTTATACTAAATATACCTAGACATATATTCATACCAGACATATGAAGAAATATCTAACCTACAGACGCGTGAACAGATGCATATACTACAGACATATATAAAAGATACTACACTCACATGAAAAGAAAGATAAGTATACTAAACAAACATGAACATACATCTATAACACACACATACATATAACTAAACTACATACACATTAGCTGACATTTATATTCCTCAACAATATTGTAAACAAACTGTTAAGGTTGGTGCAAAAGACTAAACTCATACCCTTAATAGCACTGCTAATTCTAATCACTTTTAATTATTTCTTTAAGTCATAAAAATAAATCTTCTATACAACAGATATCCACAACTACAGGTAACCACAACTATAGGCAACCACAATTATAGGTAACCACAACTATAGGTAACCACAACTATAGGTAACCACAACTATAGGTAACCACAACTATAGGTAACCACAACTATAGGTATCCACCTATTTATGTCACTAAAGTACAGCGACGTAACTAGATCTCACCTTCACTTCACTAGCTGGATACCTGGGTTCAGGCAAATCTGACATAAATCTAAGGATGACAATCCATACAGCTAGTGCAGCCTGTTTATGGAGATAGATGAACAGTAAAATCATAAATATGCTCAAAATGTCACAGTAATTATGGTGATCATCAATATGTAAGCAATAAGTAATAAAAAGACAGTGCTATAAAACAAAAATCTGAATTTAAAAAATGGCAAACAGATGTAGTCTGAAAGAATTTAAAAGCTAGTCTGAGAAAATTTAAAAGGTACTCTGAGAGAATTTAAAAGGTACTCTGAGAGAATTTAAAAGGTAGTCTAAGAGAATTTAAAAGGTAGTCAGAGAATTTAAAAGGTACTCGGAGAGAATTTAAAAGGTACTCTGAGAGAATTTAAAAGGTAGTCTGAGAGAATTTAAAAGGTAGTCAGAGAATTTAAAAGGTAGTCTGGGAGAATTAAAAAGGTAGTCTGAGAGAATTTAAAAGGTACCCTGAGAGATTTTAAAAGGTAGCCTGAGAGAATTTAAAATAAACTAATTTTTCACAAGTGAGTTAAAAGTTAAGAGACTTTATTTTAAAATAAAATTTAAGAAAGAAAACTTGAAGAGATCAATAAAATAAAAATGAAAATAATACAGAGATAAACTGATTTGAATATAGTGAAATTTCATTAACATGAACTTGCTTAGAATAAATGAATGATGTTCAACTCTACCAGGACTGCACAATGAGTGATAAATGCCCAGTGACTTAAAGTGCCACTATTCAGATGAGAATCACCTGGCACAAGTCCCAGAAACTGCGCTCAACCTTCAGGTTATTTTAGGGCTCCTGACAATAGCAGATAGTAGGACTTGCCAATAACAAACAATTGTGTCCCATATTGGAGCAGTAACAACAAGTGAACTTGCTTAGGAAGAACATTTCGTTAATATGAATAAGATTTTGGTCCCAGCAGGAATATATTTTTATTATTAGTCCCTGGTTAGCACACCTGGTTAACACACATTTATTTTTTTTAACCATGAACTCTCTTGGAATTTGTCTTAAGATTTTACTGTTTCTAACTGGCACCTTTCCATCTTTCCAGATGATAGTGTTATATTGCACTATGAGGAGGCGGGGGACTCACTGACACTAGCGATGGTGAGTGTAACTAGCAAGAAACGCCCATGTTGGGAAAAGTCTTCTACAATCACAGCATGGGATTTCAGGACCGTTCTTGTGAACATTTGTGTTTAGCATGTTTCTTCTGAGATACTCAGCTCTCATCCTGTCTGCAGTAATTTCTTCCTTCACTCTTTCCTTCCTGATACCCCCTTACTTTGTCTAGGGTCTGTTTTAATATCTGATAGGAAGAATGGATAGAGATATCAACATACAATGTTCAAAAGACATATATGGTAAAGGGGTAAGAATCAGTGTGTGAATGTGAATAAGGCAACCTTTCACAAACCAAACAAACAAATCATTTCTTCAAGTCAGAAACAGGGTCTCCTCAACTGATGACCAAGTTATGTACTGATTACGTCAAAACTTGTCGTAAGTTGAATTTATTTTTCAACATTATTTTCATTTATATGGGTTATAAAAATTGTACAAATAACTCAAAAATTCAATCTTCATTTGTATAATTATTGCAGATAATGTGAAAAATACATAATATGGACTCTACTGCATCCGTTTCAAGAACTGTTTGACATTACCAATGAAGGTATCTTTCTTTCTTTACTACTTTTATTTACTTCATTTGTTTTGGTGGTCATAAGTGCAGCTGGTCATAGTCATCTAGGTCTAAGTCAAGGAGAAGGTGTATCAAGTTCGCTCACTTACCAACTGATCCCCACTGCTTTCAAGTGGCAGAAGAGGTTGTCTGAGGGCTCTGCGAATGTAGGAATGTGTGGCGTTGTCCTGGAAGTACATGGCTGCAAACTTGGAGAATTTATACTCGGAGAGATCGATGTCATTGTCAAAACTATACAGACCTGGTCCAGGGATTATGTCTGCTTCAGAGCCATTGATTTCTGCTGGGGGAATCCCCTGAGAGGAACCAAAGACATTAAATGTTTGTTATTTTATATTATCACTATCAATGTCACTCATTTCAGCCACATGTTACATTGTGTTATATGTTACATGATCACTTTCAACATCACTACACATCAGTCAAATGTTACCAGGAATTTCCTTCAGTTCCAATTCTTTAGATACTTTCTTCAGATGATGCAAGTGTGGTGGGAAATGAACAGGCAGATAACCTGGCTCTTTCTGCATCATTCAGTGATTAACTGATGCATGACAAGCTAGATGTGGTCAAGGCCCTTAGGCAAGGAGTAAGCAGTACCAAAGCACAATCAGATTATCATGATTTGAAGAGAATGGTGCAATGGGCATTTGAATTTGCATGAAAAAAATTAAAATGTATCGCAAAATTCAAGAGACACTAAAAGTATTTCAAGGTAATTTAAACAATGTTAAATTTAAAAAAAATTTAAAACATAAAAATTTAAACAGAAAAAAGTGTGAAAATGTTTCCGCATGTGTACATTATAACATTTAACAGTGAAAAGAGAGGCACACCATGTAAGAGGCTGGGCTCCTCATCATGTAATATTGCCAAAGTTAGCAGTGAGTGTACAGTTCACACACAACCAATCTCCAGTGTGGAGGCGGCACTTATACAAATAACCAGTTAAAGTAATCTTTGTAAAGATTTCCATTATGGCTCATTTTTTGGAACAGCCTGCACCTGTCTTAGAAAAGCACAACTTACATGAAAGTGTGTCTGATGGTGTTCTGATGTTTGTCCAGTGTCATCAACAAATTTGAAGAGGTTATCCATCTGGAAATAAACAAAAATAAACCCCCAAAAAAGTTATGTCTATTGTTTAATCATGTTTATCAGTTACTTGATTTACAAAATGTTTAAAACTTGTACACAGTGTATACTGAAATATTGCAGCTAGGAGCTATAGTACATAGTGATTTCATAAAACATTACACTAACAATTTAGACAGCTGGAGCAACAGACAGGCAGTATAGACATCAGACATATACAAGAGATAACAGACTAGCATTTAAGACATCAGACTGATGGGAGAGACAGCCTGGCATATGAGACAGACTGATGGGAGAGACGGCCTGGCATATGAGACAGACTGACAAATGAGATAGACTGATGGGAGAGACGGCCTGGCATATGAGACAGACTGATGGGAGAGACAGACTGTTAGAGGAGATAGACTGACAGATGAGATAGACTGATGGGAGAGACAGACTGTTAGATGAGATAGACTGATGGGAGAGACAGACTGATGGGAGAGACAGACTAACATATGAGACAGACTGATGGGAGAGACAGACTGTTAGATGAGATAGACTGATGGGAGAGACAGACTGACATATGATACAGACTGATGGGAGAGACAGACAAACAGATGAGTTATCAGAGTGATAGAAAAGACAGACTGACAGAAAAGACATCAGAGTGATGGGAGAGACAGACTGACAGAAAAGACATTGGAGTGATCAGTGAGACAGACTGACAGATGAGTTATTAGATTAATGGGAGAAACATGAGACATCAGCATGATGGAGAAACAGACTGACAGCTGAGACAGAGTGATAGAGACAGACTGACAGATGAAACTCCTGACCAATGAATTAACAATGATAGACGAGATGTCCAACTGATTGGACAGACAGACTGACTGACTGACTGACAGATGAGACATCAGACTGATGGGACACACAGACTGACAGAGAAGACATCAGACTGATGGGACACACAGACTGACAGATGAGACATCAGCCTGACATATGAGACATAAGACTAGCAGCAAAGACAGCTTGATAGAATAGACATCAGACTTACCAAAGTGACATCATTAACAGTTTCATTGTGCTGTCTTTCAGCTGCCTCAGACTGGCTGATTTTTCGGAGAGCTTGCTGTTTCATCTGGTGAGCTCTTTCCTCCACCTCTCGTTTATTGGCCTGCATGCGTTCCTAGATCAAGATTTTATTAGAATATGCAGCAGCCATTAGTTACATTTTCTAAACTCAAATTTTAATCAATTTTATTTGGGGGTGGAGGGGGGGGGGGGGGAGGGGGTGGCGGCATATGAGGACTCATCTCATAAAATCACGGATGCGGTCAGTGCTTTTATTTCACTATATCCATATAGTCAGGTCATCCAGATATTTATCTCTTTGCCTTCCTCTTGCTTTTCCCTCCATTATTCTTGAAAGCTATAACCAAGTAATTGGGTCAATTCTGAAAATAGCTGGTGCCATTTATCGAACACAGGACCACAAATTATCTCTCCCAGTGATACTCAGCAAACAAAAGAAAGGGGGTCTACATAATGAAGTGGTCAAGCCATTTGTCTTATGCTCTGAAAGTCATGTGTTCATTTCACAGCTGTGCCATTCATTTCATGAGTAACACTTTTACCCCTAGACATCGTCTCTGGAGCTACGATGTTCACGCTTTGTGTTATGCTCTCGGCACTCAGCCAGCCATCCTGAGGAGAGAGACTGAGCCACATAAGAGTAAACCAGAAGCCATGAAGTCAATCCTCTCAACTTTAACTTCAGCTTTAAACAAAAGTGAAAAACTATGATTAAACTTTAACTTCAACTTTAAACAAAAGTGAAAAACTATGATTAAACTTTAACTTCAACTTTACACAAAAGTGAAAAACTATGATAAAACAAAAAAATGTAATTGCTATTTCACCTGGAAATGTCGGTCAGCTTCCTTCTTGGCCTCGATGGCATTCATTTTTTTCCTGAGTTCAGCTTCTTCTTTCATTCTCAGTTCCTCTGCCTCCTGCCTCATGTGATTCTGAACACAAAACATAATATTCATAATGTTACAGTATGTTAGTTAATTCACTGGTCATCCTCATTGTACATCAGACAAGCCCACAAGTGCTTTAGTTAGTTAATCAACCGACCATTGTCACTGCTCTCATTAAACATCAGAAAATAAGTACTGCAATGTTACCTTGAGCCTGTTCTGTTGTATGGCAGTAAATCTGAGAATGTGAGCAAACAAATTAGAAAGAGTTTGGAGGCAAATGAGATGTGGTTCTTGAGAAGAATGTTGCGAATACCTTGGACTGCCAGAATAACTAACAATGATTGCCTGGAAATGGCTAATGAAAGTAGAACATTATATACAACAATGAGAAGGAGACATACAAAGTTCTTTGGGCATGTGATGAGAAAAGGAGCACTAGAAATAAATTGTGATGACTAGAAAGATCACAGGTAGAAGAGACAGAAGCAGACCAAGAGAAATTATGGTGGATGGTTGAAGACAGTGGCATGGAGGAATATCACCAGTGGAATTGATCCAGAATACCAAAAACCAAGATCTGTGGAGATGCATGAATGCCTATGCCAGCTGACAAAGTACTTGATGATGACGATCCTCACTGCACACTGGACACAGTCTATAAGTGTGTTAGTTAGCTAATCAACTGATCATCCTCACTACACATTGGACACAGTCTATAAGTGTGTTAGCTAATCAACTGATCATCCTCACTGCACATTGGACACTGTACATAAGTGTGTTAGTTAGCTAATCAACTGATCATCCTCACTACACATTGGACACAGTACATAAGTGTGTTAGTTAGCTAATCAACTGATCATCCTCACTACACATTGGACACAGTCTATAAGTGTGTTAGTTAGCTAATCAACTGATCATCCTCACTACACATTGGACACAGTCTATAAGTGTGTTAGTTAGCTAATCAACTGATCATCCTCACTACACATTGGACACAGTCTATAAGTGTGTTAGCTAATCAACTGATCATCCTCACTGCACATTGGACACTGTACATAAGTGTGTTAGTTAGCTAATCAACTGATCATCCTCACTACACATTGGACACAGTACATAAGTGTGTTAGTTAGCTAATCAACTGATCATCCTCACTACACATTGGACACAGTCTATAAGTGTGTTAGTTAGCTAATCAACTGATCATCCTCACTACACATTGGACACAGTCTATAAGTGTGTTAGCTAATCAACTGATCATCCTCACTGCACATTGGACACTGTACATAAGTGTGTTAGTTAGCTAATCAACTGATCATCCTCACTACACATTGGACACAGTACATAAGTGTGTTAGTTAGCTAATCAACTGATCATCCTCACTACACATTGACACAGTCTATAAGTGTGTTAGTTAGCTAATCAACTGATCATCCTCACTACACATTGGACACAGTCTATAAGTGTGTTAGTTAGCTAATCAACTGATCATCCTCACTACACATTGGACACAGTCTATAAGTGTGTTAGCTAATCAACTGATCATCCTCACTGCACATTGGACACTGTACATAAGTGTGTTAGTTAGCTAATCAACTGATCATCCTCACTACACATTGGACACAGTCTATAAGTGTGTTAGTTAGCTAATCAACTGATCATCCTCACTGCACATTGGACACAGTACATACGTGTGTTAGTTAGCTAATCAACTGATCATCCTCATTACACATTGGACACAGTACATAAGTGTGTTAGTTAGCTAATCAACTGATCATCCTCACTACACATTGGACACAGTCTATAAGTGTGTTAGTTAGCTAATCAACTGATCATCCTCATTACACATTGGACACTGTACATAAGTGTGTTAGTTAGCTAATCAACTGATCATCCTCACTGCACATTGGACACAGTACATAAGTGTGTTAGTTAGCTAATCAACTGATCATCCTCACTACACATTGGACACAGTCTATAAGTGTGTTAGCTAATCAACTGATCATCCTCACTGCACATTGGACACAGTCTATAAGTGTGTTAGTTAGCTAATCAACTGATCATCCTCATTACACATTGGACACTGTCTATAAGTGTGTTAGCTAAACAACTGATCATCCTCATTACACATTGGACACGGTCTATAAGTGCATTAGCTAATCAACTGATCATCCTTACTGCCTATTGAACAATGTCCATAAATGCTTCAGTTTGTTAATCAGCCAATCATCCTCATTGCACTTTGGACAACATCCATAAGCACTTTAGTTAATAAATAGACCAATCATACGCATCGTACATCCATAAGTGCTCAGCGTGTGGCGGCTGATATACCAGTTATGTGTTGGTTTACTATTCTTCTTCAGCTACCTGTATAGTGTTCATGTTACAATATGTGGTAGAGGGAAGAGTAAAGGCAAGTCATTGGGTATCAGTTACAAGTTGAAGTTCTAACTTTGTGGTAAATAGGTCATCCCATAACTGCTCCACTTCTGTGCCAGTGACAACAACACTTCATTTATATCACTGAAAAGCCAAACAGACAGCAGTCCTGGCAAAAATCGAATAGCTTGTACATGTACTAAATGCATAAGGCAGCCACCAGAGTTACAGTATCAACAGTATGTCTCTAGAAGTGCAGTTCATCAATAAGGGAAACAGCAGTCATGAAAACCAGCAGATGTATAAACCTGCATAAGGCATCCTGTCAGTTTCCTGGTAACCAGCAATCTACTATTTTTTGACTATACAGTTCACAATACAAATCACAAGGAGCGGTGGAGCATTCCATGTGAAACCCACAGTTCACAATCTTACACTCATTAGCTGGCCAACAGAACCAAATTTCACCTGTACTTCATTTGTGGTCTCATCCAGTTTCCCCTTTCAGCAAAATTGCTTTTCAAATGCCAAACTGATATCAGAATTTCATGTAAGCCTTAGTGATAAAGGTCATGGGGTAAGGGCATGATTCACCCGATACATGTGTTTTTTAGGCCCGGAGAAATGTATTTCATTAAATGCTTCACTCTAATCATATTTGTTGATTACTCCTTTCATGTATCTCAATACACATACATTATGTATATATTTACACACACACACACATATATATGTGTATGTATATACATATATATGTATGTGTATGTATATACACACACATATACATGTGTGTGTATATATGCACGCACGCGCACGCATGCACGCACGCACATACATACATTTTAAATAAATTTACTAGTGATATGTAAATCTGGGGTTTTTTTTTTTTTAATCTATTGTTTTCTGGAATTCTAACAGGGTCATGGCCTATTATTTTTAGTGTCTTTTCCAGATGAATGTGTTATATTATAATATAGAAAGGCATGGGAATCACATGGACCAGCAGAACCCTCTCATGTTAAGACTAGTCTTCCACAGTCAGAGCATGGGAGTGCAGGACACTGTTGTAATCTCATGTCTAAGGTGCTTCTCAAGGTCTAAGGTGCTCAGATCTTAACCAGTATGTAATAATTTTCTCTTCTATCACTATTTTCTTCTTGATTTCCTCCTCCATGCAGCAGAGTCTATGGCCTCATATTTCCAGTTGTTCACATCAGTACATGTATCCTTCATACCCCACTTGCACACATCTTTTTTTTTTCACAGCAGAGGTGAAGCCCAACTCTTCTATCCAACTGTAACTTAACTTAAATAGTGTCCTTAGGGACCACTATCCTCAATCCTTCGAGTGAGCCCTATGTGCTGTGAAAATCTGCAACTTGATCAACATGAATACAGTAACAAAGTTTGATAAGTTTTACCTCAATTTGAAGCATACGTAATTGCTTCTGGGCGATGATAGTTCGAACTGAAGCCTGGATTTTGACGATTGCTAGCATTCTCTTGTGAACCCATTGTCTGACCAGATATCCACGACAGACACACTAAGGATATACAAAAATATATTAGTCTATTTTTTGTTATCATAAAAAGTAGATATTAACAAACATATTACTAAGCATTCCTTGTTTGATGTCATATAACCCATAAGTTACATCATAATCATATACTACGAGCTGGTTCAGAAAAGCCACGTAGGAGAGAATTGGGGGTTGGGGGGGGGGGGGGGGGGGCAGAATTGCCACTCTTTAACAAGCATGTCATAAAAGGCAACTTATTAAGTGTTTGTTAACATCAGATATGTTGGACTGAAGGATGCAGATATCACTGCCTAAAGGCAAACCATGACACAACATGCCAACCACCACCCTAAATGCAGAAGAAGAAGAATATACTTCAGTATTATATTAGTAAAAAAAAAAAAAAAAAACCACAACAAAACTATCTAGCAACTTATTATTATTGTAGTTTCTTAAGTTTCAAAAATAAAACCTCATGCAATGGAGCAAACCAAGTACTGGAACAGCTAGACCTCCACCTCCCCACCTTTTGCAGCATAAAACAATCCCCAACAGCACAGAGAAACATCTTATACAAAGCATATTTATTCTAACTCTATGCTACAAATGCTAGATATGGTCACTCACACACCTAAAAACCAGAAAAGAACATTAATAACCTTGGACATGAAATGTCTGAGAAAGGTTGCAGGAGTGACCAGAAGAGATACAATTAGGAATGGGGTCATAAGAGAGCAAGTTGACACAAAACCAATTCTAAATTACATACAAAGCCATCAGATTATTGGTTTGCATACTTAGAGATAATGCCTTGTGATACCATACCATATAAGGCAAATATGAAAACAAGAGAAGGATGTACAGCATGAAGTAGACCAAGAACAATATGGAATGATAACATAGAGAAACTCTGCAATAGCACAATGTGTCTTTGGTTGAGGCAGCCCAAAAACAAGAAGCAGAACCTCATATCTCCCCTCGACAGTAATAAAAGAGAAAGAGATGTAGAAGAAGAATAAAATCTCACTATAATGTTATAAACTGTGGTAGCATAGTGGATAGATGCGCTGTGTTGACCAAAAGGTTTTGAGTCTGAATCCCTATCAAGGCATTTTTTAATAATGATCTATCGCTTCCAGGTCTGCCAGCCTAAATTGGGTACCAGTATATATGCTAAGAAGTAAAGGCACTAGGCGTGAGATTGACCACATCATTTATTCAAAATATGGGCCCAGCAACATATGCTCAGTCGCATATCCATAAACTTTTTGAACTTGAGGTTATCTGTATTTTAAAAATTATTATTATTATTATTATTTTTAGCTGCCATTTGTGGCCTAGGCGTTGCGATTGTCCTTCATAACGCCGAGGTACCAGGTTTTATCCCAGCTGTGGATGATCTGTCTTACATTGATTTAAACATAGTACCGAGAGCTGACCATTTAGGGAGAAATGGAAAACTACTGAATGTAAAATCTGCCTAAAAATACCACAAAAGGCAAAAAATGCTGGGGTTGGTTATGCAATGTACTGTAAAGGATATGCAACAAAATTTATTTTTTTTAAACTGTATTTTACCCATCTGAAATTGTTTCTTTTTTAATTTTTTTTTCTTGTTATTGCTTGCGTTTGGTGTTGTTCTGTTGCATTGTCTATTTGTTAATCCATTTCTCGTAGGACGTTGCATTTTCAATTCTTATTTTTCTAACATATTTGTTTTGGTAAAGGTTTCATAAAATTAAGCCACTTTTCTGGTTGATGTATTTACAGGTAACAGATATGTTATATTTTGTTTTACATTTTTGTTGTAAAAGTACGGTACTGTGTTTCGTGTTTACTTGTCATTTATTTGACGTCAATGCTCTCAGTTTCAAAATCTGAGAAGTTTAATTTTGAAAATTAGCACCTGTGAGATGAGAGACCGCAGAAAAGCCATTAACTTAACATCTGAGACTGAGTGAAAAATGATACTCTCATACTGTGAGAACACTTTGCAGCAAATTTACTGAAAAGCAGAAGATAAATGTTTTGGTTATCTTGTTAGAATGCAGCCACAACAACTACCAACACAGTCACAACAATTACCAACACAGATGCAACAACTACCAACACAGACACAACAACTAACAACACAGCCACAACAACTACCAACACAGACACAACAACTATTAAAACAGACCTAATAACCAAAAGAGATCTGATGTGAGGGTAAATGATGGCTCCCAGATCAACAGATGACAATAAAGACATTCTACATCTACAAGAAGTTTCCCCTAAAGATAAAACTGAGGAGAATAAACAATGATAGCACACTAAGGAAAAAATATATCCACCATGTTAAAAACACAATGTTAGTAAGATTGTCTAATTATTCATAGCACAATTTCTATCATAATCCCAACCAAAATCAAAGCTAATTTTGAAAATATACAAATTACATTTTGATCATATAAATAATTACATGATCTATAAATTTAAAAAATATATATATACTCTGAGAACTCAATTATAACCCCGAGGGTTAAACAGAATATTTGTGAAAAATTACTGCTACTACTACAAGAAAGGCTAACAGCCAGTGCTACCCAACGTGCAACAGACCAAAACTTCCTCCCCATGATGCTTAATAGCAAAGTGTGGAGACTGATGATGATGAAGTTGATGATGATGATTAAGTAGCTGATGACTTTTTAGTGTGCCCATTATTTCTTTTAATTTCAATCTTTTTATCTTTTTTTTTTCTTCAAAATCATATTCTTCAAGTGCCTGATCGGGAACATGCCTCAAAAAGAAGTAGAAGAAACTTCAAAACTGCAGCCATGCCATTATTATGAGACATTCAGATGATGGTAGATCATTTTAATTAACAAGTCTGCTAGATTACCTGTAAATTCAGAGCCCACCGACGGATCACATTGAACCTTGCTGAAAGAATCCTAGACCGGATCAGTGCTTGCAGCCTTAAGTAGCCTTGTTTCATCTGAAACAAGCAACAGTATAAACAAAATAAGCTACGTGTACCTACAAACATGGTCAGTCAACTGAGACACAAAATATCCACTAACTTAGAATAACATCTGCAATTACCCAAAGAATTGTATTACCATCTCCTAGATAATGAGACCAAACATCAAACATTGTGAGATAGGATGAAATATGAGTTGAGTTATTCTCAAGGCGGTCAAGACTCACCCAAAAGGTTCTCAGATTCTCCCCTGAACATATAAACCAGTGTACTTCTTCTTCTTCTTCTTCACTTCCTTTTTCATCTCTTCGGGTATCAGGGGATAAGATTCTGCTTCTTGTTTTTCTCGCTGCCTCAACCATAGACACATCATGCTGTTGTAGTATTTCATGACTTTAGGTAGTCATAATAAATTCACTGCAAGCTTGCTATGCCTGTCACAACTTCACCAGTCTTATTGGTCAGGATGTTTCAGGGTGACCAAGGCTGGCCTTCACTGTTACGTCAATGTACAACAGTCTGACTGTGATCTGTTTATTTTATTTAGTAAACAGAAATTTTGTTGCATGTTTTTTGAGGACTTTTTAATTGGCTTTTAGAAGTTTTACTGGGCAATTTGTGTGTTCAGAAGTTTGCCAGTGCTCTGTAAACATAATTCTTTTATACATTTTGTAGGAAACTCACTATCTATTATTAAACAGCTACAGGCGTGACTTAAACGCAGTATTATAAGTTTACACTAAATAATTTCAAAAAACAACGAAAAGATGAAAAATCATACAAAATAGATTAACAAATCTATAACCAAAGCCACAGAGAAGAGCAAGACAAATGCCCCCCCCCCCCCCCCCCCCCAAAAAAAAAATTACACTGATCTACTACCTGGTATCATGTAGATGACAAAAAAAGAAAGAAACCAGACTGACTTATAATTTATTCTAACCAGTATTTTATTTTGTTATCAGAAAAATTAAAAATTAACAAACCACAAAAAAGCGCTTCCTCTCCAGGAATACCCTCACTGCAGTTTGTACTTGGACAATACACTTTCTCATCTTCAGGAACCTGCGTCTGTAGTGCCACGATCTCACCATCTTCTGGATGATCAGAATTTTTTTGGTAAGAGTGATCTCCCTCTGCTGTTCCAGAAAAGAATCCTGGGCATCCTAATTTTAGACAAAAAATATAATAACTAGTTATTTGCTTAAAATTTTTTTCTTCTTTTTCTTCTTCTTCTTTACATTCACCAGCTGTAAACTTCAGAGGAAAGTTCTGGTTTTTCACCCACTTCTGGACTGTCTTGTTCCAGAACTTGATTTTGGATGCATGCAGATGTTGCTTATTTAAAAGCAGACTGTTGATTCTTCACTTCTCAGGTAGATGAACTCCGACTTCGAGGAAACATCCCCAGTAAGTTTACTTTTATGACATGCTGTTAGGGGACATTGATTTTTTTTTTTTCATTCTTCAAAATGAGGTCATAGAACTCACAGAGGGAGGCTCAAAATTTAGATTTAGATTACAAATTTTTTTAAAATATATAATTAGTCTAGGTTTTATAACTCAGATAACTATGAGATGAGATAGAAAACAGGCAGAAAAATATGGAAGGGATTCAAAAATAAACGCAAAGGTTTAAATTTTATTTAAAAAATAGAAAAAAATTAAGACAGACCAAGATTGAGCATTAAAATGGAGTTCATGTTTTGTAAGATTACTCTTAGCAGGTGACTGGCCAGTCTGTGAAGAGACAGACAAATCTCCACATGGAATAAACCCTGATGTTATAAAGCTGTTCATTTCACACTGAAACACCTTTTTAAAGTTTAACTACAGTTGCTGGAATTTGCACAGAGGCTATGATTTAGATTATAAATTTCCCTGTGTGAGTTTCAGGGTCCCATTTGGAGGGGCAACAAATGAACGAATAAAGAAATAACCAAAAAAAACATGATTTTCAAAGGGTTAAAAATTGGGCACACAGGCTCGTCTAACATTCTGCCCCTTTGGAGGGAAGAACAGATCCACTGACACCTACCTGACAGTTAATAAAAAAAAAAGTAAAGGTTCCTTTACTTGTGATGCTGACCACATTACTCATCTTGCGCCGATTGGTCTATAAAACATATAGGTCTAGCCCTATATGCCTAAAGTCGTGGAAAAAGGACCTTTACTTTCTTTTCTTTTTTTACATGCCAGTGGCACATCTGGCATATAAGGCTACACTCGTATTTGTATACACCAATCAGCCTTCTATGGGTGACGTCACATTGGCCTGACCCCTAACAAGCATGACCTGAAAGGTAACTAATCTGGGATATTTCTTTATTGAATGAAAGTGCATCTGCTTTAGAGGTGAAGAACCAGTAGTCTGCACGCATATAAGCCAGGTATGTAAGACAGATATAAACGCAAAACTCAAGTTCTGGAAGAAAATCAAACTTAAGAAATGGATAAACAACTAGAACTTTCAACCGGAGTTTACAGCCATTGAACACTAAGAAAAAAAGAAGGTTATAACTGATAGTGTAAGACTAAAGTAGTGGGTCTAGGAGCCCCAATTTGTTGCAAAGTGAATAGACACGCTGCCCCCCTCACCCCGTCCCGCCCCCACAAAAATGTCACAGAAGGCAACTAATTGAGGGGGTTTCCTTCTAAGTCAGAGTGCATTTGGCTGAGAGGCAAACAACCAATGATCTGCATAGAAATAAGCCAGATGGGTAAAATGGATGCCCACACAAAACTCAGGTCCTGGAACAAAGTCATAGTCCAGAAATGGACAAACAACCAGGATTTCCATAGGAGTTTACAGCTGGTAAAGGCAGACGAATGAATGAATGAACAAACTTTATTTTCAAAGGGTGACAAATCTGGCATGTAGGCCTGTCTTACATTCGGCCCTTCCAAACACCGTCTTTCACACAGCAGTTGTATTTTATTAAAAAAGCATGTTATATATTCATATGATAATATGCATAGTTATTACTCATTAAAAAGGATTATCATCACAGCACTCCGGACAGATTCATAGATGCTCCGATCTCCTCCTCAAAAACTCCAGAAGTGTAAAACGACTGATGACGCCTGTTCTGTGTTGGTTAATGAAACTTCTTGTCCCCTTAGTGAAATCTTCATTTCTTTCAGCCGCAGGCTGCACCCCCATGTCCATCAGTCTAGACAGGGATACAGTCATATCGTTTAGCCTGCTTCTCGGTACGGTAAGTGCAGCGCATGGCACTGATAACATCCTTCTGTATGGTACTAGACGATAATATGCAAATTGTGAATAAACAAACAAAGACATAAGTACGAAAAAACAAACGCCAAGCATCTTACCTTGAGGAAGACTTTAGTTTTTCCAAGCTGGTAGTCTGTATCTTTCAAAACAACAGAACAAATTTTATTAGATGCAGCCCTGCAGTCTTCTTTGTGAGAGGGCCCAATGCCATCCACCAGTATCCTGTACCTGTCTACAAACTTGGCAAAGTCGTGCCTGATGGGATATCCAGCTCGTCGGATCCGTATAGTCTCCATCATTCCAGAGTAGCGAAGCTGCTTGCAACAAAGTTCTCTATCAAAGATCTGCAAGAGAAAAAAAAATTTATGTTTGAAGTAAAAATAATGCTTTGTATCAAGAAGGAGCTATGGTAACATAGAGGACAGATACTTGCCTGCTGACCCAGAGGTGTTGGGTTTAAATCTGCATAAAAACACAATAACCACTCAATATATTCATTAAAACAAAACAGACAGCTTAATACTTCACAGAAAAACTTATTAACAGCTCAATACATTCACAGAAAAACCACAAGATAAGCTCAATACATTCACAGAAAAACACACGAACAGCTTAAAACATTCACAGAAAAACACATGAACAGCTCAGTACATTCACAGAAAATCACAATAACAGGTCAACAAATTGATTAAAAAAATAGAATAATAGCTGGAAACAGCCAAACTTACCAGTGGTTTCTTGAACTCGTTTGGCTTGATGCAGCGAACAAAAAATGGCTGGCAAGTACTTAGTGTGTTCATTAGTTGCTCTAGAGATTTCTTAAACTGGAAGGCTAATGTTGGTGATTTCTTCCTTGTTTCAGTACCCTACAAAGAAAATTTAGTCACAGATAGAGTTTCACATATGCAACATTTAATATTAACATATTTTTATAAATGGTAATGTACTACACACTTCATATAAAGAAGTACATTTACAGTACATTTTTATAGAGCACTAATTGCTGAAGTGTAGGAAATATGAAAACCAAAGGAAACAATTAACCTACTACATGAATCTCTGTAAATTACCTATGAGGATGGAAAACTTGCTCCACATAAATAGCCCCAGAGAGCTGCGTGGCAAGGTCAAGTAATTTATTACTAGGACTAAAATCCATATAAAGAAGGGTAAAGATATGCCCATGGCATCTTTGAAGAAGTTTTCCTTAAAATCAAGGAGAATAATCAATTATTGCACACTTAGGAAACAATATATCCACTATTTAATGACACAATGTTAGTAAGATTGTCGAATTATTTATAGTACAATTTATATCATAATGGCATTCCAATTCAAAGCAAAATGTGAAACAATACAAATTAAATTTTAGTCATATAAACAATTACAAGATACATACATTAAAAATAACAAATGTACACAGAGAACTCAATTAAAACAATATATTCCAATTATAACCCTGAGGGTGGAACAGGATTGTTTTGAAAAATTACTACTACTACATTTACAGTCAGTTTCAGCACTGATATATCAAATAAACAGTGTCCATGTGTGGGTTTCCGGGGCCCTATTTTGGGGAAGGGGGCAGAATAGACCCACTGCCCCCATAACAAGCATGTCATAAAAGGTGACTAACTATAAGGTGTTTCCTTCAAAGTCAGAGTGCATCGGTCTGAGAGACAAGAAACCAACAGTCTGCATACAAATAAGCCACATCTGCAAAACAGATGTGTATGCAAAACTCAAATCTAGTCTATCAGTGGACCAACAACCAGAAATTTCCACTGGAGTTTAAAGGTACTGAGTGGTAAGAAGAAGAAGCAGACATAAATGGTGTGATGTCAGGACAATCATTATTTTCAGAAAAATCCTGCCACTTCTGGGCACTGAATCAGAAGCTCTATCTAGGAAGGCAAACATACTAGTCCTATGCCACAGCAACTCCTTAGAAAAACACAGTCTAAAAAAAATTATTTTAAGGGAGCCATGGCAACATAGTGGCTAGATGCTCACCTGCTAACCAGAATGACTTGGGTTTAAATCCCCATCAGGTGGATTTGATATTTTTTTTTTTAAATGACCTTCGCTTTCAGGAAGTAAAGATGGCTGGTGTGATGTTGTTGAACACACCACCTATCAAGCGCTGACTGGACATTACAAATATGAGTGTATCATCATTTTTTTCTATGCACCTTCTCTTTCTTCTTCTCTAGCCCTAATATGCCTTTCAGCATCACATTTTGAAGAGACACTGGGTGCAAGCCTTTGTATGTTATGTAGATGCTGGCCTCATATATTCCATCCATCCATTGCTTGCGTGGCCAACCTCAGGCTGTGCTTCCATTACGTCTAAGTGACAAGACTCTCTGTTGTACATTATCTGGTGGTAGTCTTGACACATGTCTGAACCTTTTGATCTGTTGTCTCTTGATGTAGTTCAGTACTGGTATCTGCCCCAACCTTCATCTTTGTGCCAGGCTATGCGGGTGTTCGAGGAAACGAGTGTGCAGACTATCTTGCTGACACTGCGGTTGCTATGGTTGGCCCAGTACTGGACAGAAGTGATGTAATCAATGCCATGCGGTGCACTTGCCATACCTAAGAGCAGCCAAAGGACATGACTCTGTATCCCTGTCTAGACTAATGGACATGGGAGTGCAGCCTGGAGCTGCAAGAAATGAACATTTCACTAAGGGGACAAGATGTTTAATTAACCAACACAGAACAGGCGTCATCAGTCATTTTACACTTGTGGAGCTTCTGAGGAGGAGATCGGAGCACCTGTGGATCTGTTCGGAGTGCTGTGATGATAATCCTTTCTAATCACTAGTACTGGTTCCATTCCAATTTCTTTCCTGATATCATCATTTCTGAACCTGTTTCTGCTAGTTACATTTAAACTGTGTTGTTTCTCTACACACCACTGGCATGAAAAGACTCCTTACTTCCTTACATACTGAAAAAAGGACTGTCAAACATGTGTACAAACATACCATTGAGAGATCTGCAGAAAAGATCATGTTGATGAATTTGCTCCTGGAATCATGAATCAGAGCAATTAGGTCTCCACTGAATGTATCCCTGTTCTTTTCCAGAAATCCTATAGAAAACATTCAAGTAGACATTGGAAAGTGAACTTTAAATTTCTTCTGCTTCTTCTTCTACATTCAACTGTTGATGTAATTGCGTTGTGCCAATTTAAAACATAGCTGCAATATTTTTGCCTTTTGGCCAACACATCTGACTTCTGCCGGCATTTATTGACTGAGTTAGCATTCCTGGTTAGTTTTGTGAGGCATTGCAGTCCTACTTTTGTGTGGTCATCTTTGTTTCCCAGGTCAAGGTGGTGACCCACATCAGACCAGTCCAGAGAAGCCATGTAATGCTGATCAGCCTTCAAGGCAGAGGCAGAACATGAGCATTCCCTGCCATCCAAGGAGTCTTCCATAAATGCAGAGCCAATACATGGTGCTCTGGTACTGGGCTGACCCAAGGAATCTGCATGTCCTGTTCATTACTGTTTAACCTCCTTTCCATAAACTGAACATTTCATTCATCACAGGCTATGTCTTTAAGAAACAATAATAGCAGCCTGCAGACCTGGGACTTCAGTTACCTACACTAATGAGTAGTTTGTTTTATTTGCATGTGAGACTTTTGATGCAGTGGACTTCTGCATCCACTAGAGTTTTTTGTGACATTTCCCATTCAGATGCCTAGGGGCATCCAGTGGCGTAGCAAATTAACAAATGGGTCTGCTTCATTTTCTTCCCAAATGAAAACTTTCAATTTAAATCACAGGATATTATGTTGCTTATAAATTCAAGGATAAACTATCACATTTGTGTTAATGTTGAATGCTGAATTAAGAACCAACATGGTTTCCCTGTCTCACCACTCCATCTGATATACCCAGGTTGCAGTCTATTCGGTGAAAAATCATTTTCCACAAAACTCACAAGCCTCATAGCGTTTAATCTCTTGTATGGCACTGATAATGTCTCTCCTGGCCATAAAGGGCCCATTTCTGATAGTTGCACTGCCAGCCAGAGCATCTGCTCTCTCATTGCTTTTCACACCAGCTACCCTGAGATAAACCTGGTAATTCTTCTTCTTTATGTTCACCAGCTGTAAACTCCAGTGGAAAGTTCTGGTTGTCGTCCACTTTAGCCTCGTTCCAGAACTTGAGTTTTGCATGCACATCCATTTTACAGATCTGGCTTACTTGTATAAAGACTGTTGGTTCCTTGCCTCTCATGCAGATGCAGACTTAGAAGGAAACCCCTAGTTAGTCAACTCTTATGACATGCTTGATAGAGAAGCAGTGGGTCTATTTTTGTTTCCCCTACAACGCAGCACTGGAAATATTGTGTATATGGTGCGGGCCCAATATTTTATAGACCAATCAGTTCTTGTTAGTTGGTGTGGTCAATATTATATGACCATCTTTACTTTCCAGAACATTGCCGGCATCAAGTTTTAGGTGGTGTTGACCTGGAGCTCATTTGATTTGATTGCAAGTGAAATCTGCTAGCTGTTGCATTATCAAGCTTCCCAGGAAATGATCTGAAAGACTAAATTACTGCTAATCTTACTGACAACCTGCAGGCTGACCTCAAGGGATAAACACTGAAGAATAAGCCTATAATTTTAGGTTATTTAGTCCGCATCTGTCGCTCAATCTGCATCTGTGGCAATTCATTATTCTGAAACACGCAGTTCAATTCCAGCTGCGGCAATTTAGTGCAGACCACTATGCATTGATTTTCAACAATGGTATTGAATGGCAACTGTTCAGAAAGCAATGACAAACTACTGAATGTACAATTGACTAGTCAAAGTACAACAGCCAAAAAATGCTAGGGTTGGTTCTGCAAATTCCTCTAAAGGATAAGCAACTACCTTTCTTTTTTTTTGGAGGGGGGGGGGGGGGGGATTTAAATAATGCATCTAACATAGATGGATACATTTTGAACAATGCAGCCCATGCTAAGCTCAGACAATATTGTGTCAGTGTACAATTATACAATTTATTGGGAAAAAGAAGAAAATACTTTCTTAGCACTCTGAAAATTTGTGCCACAAAATTGTTGTTTTCTAAAAGTATACATTTTCTCAGTAAGGTTATGAAACCATAACAGATTCAGGATTTTAAATTCAAATGTTACAGACACATTTTACGAATTAGAATACAAAACTAAGAAATATGTCAAGAGACAAAATATAAGAATTTGCAGGATGACATCAGGAGCCTCTCTTGGCAGTGGTAAAATGTTGCAAGGTAGCTTGGTTGAGGCACATGGTGAGACATGATCCGATTGCAAAGAATGTACTTGAAGGAACACTGGGGGTAGTCGAAGAAGAGGAGGGCAAAGAAGAAACTGAAATGACAACATCGAGAAATGGACATGACTAATTTATCATACACTTATTCATCAAACGGAAGACAGAGAAAGACAGCGGGTTTTGGGTGCTAGTGCTTCTATCAATACACTACCACGACCCTAACGGGTCAGGGATTATGTTATGAAAACAAATAAAAATGAAAATGGCTGTTGTAATCAAACATGCTTTTTTTTTTACAATGAACATAAATCTTACATATTTCATAATATATTAAATTTCCATTGCTAGATTGCTTGTTTATTGGCTGCCATTTGCTGCAATTCAATTTTTCCCATAATGAATTTAAATAATGCAGATACAAACAATACATTGCCCAATTTATTGCCAGGCATATTTCGCTGTATCTCATCAGGTGCATTACTACAGAGTTACAATAACATAAAATGAAACACAAAACTGAATAAATTCTACTGAAATGTGAATAGTTTCTTTGATACATTGTCTCTGTTTCATGGCCGCCAGAAGCTCACTGTTGTCACGTGACTTACCAGGGTAACTTCAAATTTACAATAAATTCCGTCTGCTTACAAAGGAGGGGGTTGTTGGTTTAATTGTTAAAGCTTCGGTGATTCTCAACAGTCTTCTGTTCGGAGTGTGGTAAACCACACGGAAAGCACTGTCTGTGTCTATTACGTGTCCGGAATTAAGTAGATGACGTCCTATGGAAGAAGTGGGTTCTTTCCTCTTGACTGGTCCTGACACCCTAAAAGAATCACTCAGCTGTGTATGTAGCCATTTGGGTATGTGCTCTGAAACTCTATTTCCAAGCTGTCTCTCCGTTCGACCGATGTAAGTCAACTGGCACTTACATGTAAATTTGTAAACACAATTTGATTTTGTGTATGGAGAAACGAGCTCTTTAATAAGTGGGGTTGGGATAGAAGTGGTCTTGTACCTCACTATTGGAATAGCCGCAAAAAATGTTTGGCCAACTGCTGTTTCCAGTCGTTCCTCCATATGCTGCATGACGTCATCACCTCGATAAGTCAGTTGGATAAATACTCGTAGTTTGGATACTGTAATTTCATTCGGGGTAGGGTTGGGCGGCAATAGTATTGAGACCATTTTACTTCTAAATTTATTTTGGGACCTTCGTTATTTACTTACCTCTACAGTCATAAAAGACAACACCAGCAAAATGGTTGAGCCCAAAAGTTTGATTGACTGAAGCCTTGGGTTTCAAGTAATTTGGGTTGTTGCCATGGTATTGATGTAGCTTGCGTAATAAACTTTCATCTGTTCCCTTAAAGAAACAATAGATGCCAAAAATATGAGTGTCTGTTGCAAAAACAGCCATTAATAATGCACTAATTAGCAGCAGTGGGGATAAATTCACAAACAGTAGTGATAGATGTTTAGAAAGCAATGGCAAATTACTGAATGTAAAACTGTCTAGTAAAACCAGAGAAAAGGAGAACATCCAGATTGTGTGAAGGCTGGAGGCTGATGGTGTGAAGGCTGGAGGGGAGACTGAGAGAGAGGATACTGGATAGTTTGACATCATGGCATGGAGGATCATCTGTGGCAGAGCTGATAGAAATATACATGAGACAGAAGGTTGTGGACAGACATGACTACCACTGCCACACAGCATAGACGTGGTGATACCTTTGCTAGCATCAATTATACCTTCATCAGTATCTGGGACAGGGACGCCGTGGTGTAGCATGTAGACTCCCGCCTCGGAAGGTCGTGGGACATGGATTTAAAAAAAAAAACCTTGGCTCTCAGGTCGATGCAGCCTTGAGTGGGAAGTAAAGGCAGCCAGCTTGATGCTGACCACATCACACAGTCTTTTATATCGATTTCGGTCCTTTCTGTCTTTCAGTATGTGATGGCAATCCTAACTCAGCCATATGCAGATGGAAAGGATAAAGAACAAGGCTTAGCACATCATATTTGGATGTGCAGGAGCTACAGCATGCAGGGCGATGCGCGACATCCTCGATTTTCCAACCCTGGAGGACAGAATTCAAATATACGGAGTAGGTGCCTACCCCCCGGGTCAACCCAGACACACGACACCTGCTGCATGGTGAAATGAAGAGAAAAAAAGGTTAAAAAAGAGGAAAAATAGTGGATGGGTAGGCTGCAGACATTATTCAGCAGTTTGTTCATTTGAAGACATAGAACTTGGGGAGCAATGGGTACAAGTACCAACAGAGTGCAGCACGACCTTTTTTGTTTGCAATTGACTAGACAGAAAATGCAGACAAGAAAGTCCAGCTGCTGTTGGGGCAGAATTTCAGGCTCTGATTTTTGAGAATTCTCTACAGGGGGATGCTGTTATAAACACAGATGAGTCTGTAATTAGCCATGTGAGAAGCTCTTGGGCTTTTATGGCTAAGGTTGGAGTTAGAATTCTGAAGCAAGATTCTAGTGCTGTTGACTCAACTACAAGTAGTCTAACTACGGATTGTAGTGAACAAAGCAATGATAACATGGCTGGAGACACAGACCTTTTTCTGTGCATGCTTTTTCAGTGACTTGATGAGTATGCTCAGGAAGAAAGAGAAGGGCTGGATCCGAAGACCATTCGTCCGTCTTTAAAAAAAAAAAAAAAGCTGAAGACAGTGGCTGGATTCTCTAAAGGGGTTGGTGCTGACACTTATCAGTTTCAGATTTGTGCCAGGGCTACTGTGGAGGGCAGACAAGCCATAGATCAAGCTGATATTTTGAATGCTCAACGAAAAGTAAGACATTTGGGAGAACCAAGTGATTACTTTGAATCTGCAACCATGACCAGACTGCAAGAACAACATGTTAAAACAGGTGTGACCAGCCAAGAGCACTATGCAGGAAGCCAAAGAAGAATAAGAAGCCAACACAGAAGTGATGTCATGAGCCAACTACACACTGTGGGATTTACTAAGGAGGGGATCCGAGCATTTATGGACTGAATGGTTTGTTGTGCAATGAGGATAATGTAAAACTGTCTAGTAAAACCAGAGAAAACGAGTACATCCTGATGGTGTGAAGGCTGGAGGGGAAAAGAGGCACAGAGAGACAGAGAGAGGATACTGGATAGTTTGACATCATGGCATGGAGACAGAAGGTTGTGGACAGACATGACTACCACTGCCACACAGCATAGACGTGGTGATACCTTTGCTAGCATCAATCATACCTTCATCAGTATCTGGGACAGGGACACGGTGGTGTAGCATGTAAACTCTCGCCTCCGCATCGGAAGGTCGTGGATCATGAATTTATTAAAAAAACCTTGGCTCTCAGGTCGACCCAGCAGTGACCGGGAAGTAAAGGCAGCCGGCATGATGCTGACCACATCACACAGTCTTTTATATCAGGGTCTGGTATTTTCTGTCTTCTTCTTCTTATTCTCTTCCACCTTTTACCTCATCGAAGTGTCAGGGAGAGATGTAATGTTTTAGGGCCCTTCTTCTTCTTCTACTTCTCTTCCAGCTTTTACCTCATCAAAGTGTCGGGGGAGATGTAATGTTTCAGGGCACTTCTTCTTCTTCTACTTCTCTTCCACCTTTTACCTCATCGAAGTGTCAGGGGGAGATGTAATGTTTCAGGGCCCTTCTTCTTCTTCTTCTCTTCCACCTTTTACCTCATCGAAGCGTCGGGGGGAGATGTAATGTTTCAGGGCACTTCTTCTCTTCCACCTTTTACCTCATCGAAGTGTCGGGAGAGATGAAATGTTTCAGGGCCCTTTACTTCTTCTTCTTCTTCTCTTCCACCTTTTACCTCATCAAAGTGTCGGGGGGAGATGTAATGTTTCAGGGCACTTCTTCTCTTCCACCTTTTACCTCATCGAAGTGTCGGAGGAGATGAAATGTTTCAGGGCCCTTTACTTCTTCTTCTTCTTCTTCTCTTCCACCATTTTACCTCATCGAAGTGTCGGGGGAGATGTAATGTTTCAGGGCCCTTCTTCTTCTTCTACTTCTCTTCCACCTTTTACCTCATTGAAGTGTCGGGGGAGATGTAATGTTTCAGTGCCCTTCTTCTTCTTCTCTTCCACCTTTTACCTCATCGAAGTGTTGGGGGGAGATGTAATGTTTTAGGGCCCTTCTTCTCTTCCACCTTTTACCTCATCGGAGTGTCGGGGGAGATGTAATGTTTCAGGGCCCTTCTTCTTCTTCTTCTTCTTCTCTTCCACCTTTTACCTCATCGAAGTGTCGGGGGAGATGAAATGTTTCAGGGCCCTTCTTCTTCTTCTACTTCTCTTCCACCTTTTACCTCATCAAAGTGTCTGGGGGAGATGTAATGTTTCAAGGCCCTTCTTCTTCTTCTACTTCTCTTCCAGCTTTTACCTCATCAAAGTGTCGGGGGAGATGTAATGTTTCAGGGCACTTCTTCTTCTTCTACTTCTCTTCCACCTTTTACCTCATCGAAGTGTCAGGGGGAGATGTAATGTTTCAGGGCCCTTCTTCTTCTTCTTCTCTTCCACCTTTTACCTCATCGAAGCGTCGGGGGGAGATGTAATGTTTCAGGGCACTTCTTCTCTTCCACCTTTTACCTCATCGAAGTGTCGGGAGAGATGAAATGTTTCAGGGCCCTTTACTTCTTTCTTCTTCTTCTCTTCCACCTTTTACCTCATCAAAGTGTCGGGGGGAGATGTAATGTTTCAGGGCACTTCTTCTCTTCCACCTTTTACCTCATCGAAGTGTCGGAGGAGATGAAATGTTTCAGGGCCCTTTACTTCTTCTTCTTCTTCTTCTCTTCCACCATTTTACCTCATCGAAGTGTCGGGGGAGATGTAATGTTTCAGGGCCCTTCTTCTTCTTCTACTTCTCTTCCACCTTTTACCTCATTGAAGTGTCGGGGGAGATGTAATGTTTCAGTGCCCTTCTTCTTCTTCTCTTCCACCTTTTACCTCATCGAAGTGTTGGGGGGAGATGTAATGTTTTAGGGCCCTTCTTCTCTTCCACCTTTTACCTCATCGGAGTGTCGGGGGAGATGTAATGTTTCAGGGCCCTTCTTCTTCTTCTTCTTCTTCTCTTCCACCTTTTACCTCATCGAAGTGTCGGGGGAGATGAAATGTTTCAGGGCCCTTCTTCTTCTTCTACTTCTCTTCCACCTTTTACCTCATCAAAGTGTCTGGGGGAGATGTAATGTTTCAAGGCCCTTTTTCTTCTTCTTCTTCTCTTCCACCTTTTACCTCATCGAAGTGTCGGGGGGAGATGTAATGTTTTAGGGCCCTTCTTCTTCTTCTCTTTCACCTTTTACCTCATCGACGTGTCGGCGGGAGATGTAATGTTTCAGAACACTTCTTCTTCTTCTACTTCTCTTCCACCTTTTACCTCATCGAAGTGTCAGGGGAGATGTAATGTTTTAGGGCCCTTCTTCTCTTCCACCTTTTACCTCATCGAAGTGTCAGGGAAGATGAAATGTTTCTGGGCCCTTCTTCTTCTTCTTCTTCTCTTCCACCTTTTACCTCATCGAAGTGTCGGGGGAGATGTAATGTTTCAGAACACTTCTTCTTCTTCTACTTCTCTTCCACCTTTTACCTCATCGAAGTGTCAGGGAAGATGTAATGTTTTAGGGCCCTTCTTCTCTTCCACCTTTTACCTCATCGAAGTGTCGGGGGAGATGTAATGTTTTAGGGCCCTTCTTCTTCTTCTCTTCCACCTTTTACCTCAGAGAGGAAGGATGTGAAACTGGATCTGTGAAGATGAATCGAGAGTGAAGAGCACATGGAACTGAATCAAAGTCGAATGAATGAGAGTGAAGGCCAGCTCGAGTGTTACACCATTTGATTGTTGAGCCAGCCATGAATATGCCAGTGTCAATCGTCTGAAGCATGTCTGGAGCATTAACGCATGAGCAAGTTGAGATTGCCCCGAATGGTGTAAGTGGACATCGTTGCTGATTCGTGTCTTGTGCTACAGTGATAATAAACTGATGAAATGTATCAGCTGGTGTCAACCGTCGTTAGAAGTCGTGTGACCGATGAGAGCAGTGCAGTCTTGTTAGATTAAGCTGTGACCTAACCTCTAGACACAACTGCATTAGATACAAGTGCAGTCATTACAAGGGCCATTCTTCTTCTTATCTTCCACCTTTTAACTCATCGAAGTTTCGGGGGGAGAAGTAATGTTTCAGGGCCTTTTTTCTTCTTCTTCTTGTTCTCTTCCACCTTTTACCTCATCGAAGTGTCAGGGGAGATGTAATGTTTCAGGGCCCTTCTTCTTCTTCTCTTCCACCTTTTACCTCATCGAAGTGTCGGGGGGAGAAGTAATGTTTTAGGGCCCTTCTTCTCTTCCACCTTTTAACTCATCGAAGTGTAGGGGGAGATGTAATGTTTCAGGGCCCTTCTTCTTCTTCTCTTCCACCTTTTACCTCATCAAAGTGTCAGGGGGAGATGTAATGTTTCAGGGCCCTTCTTCTTCTTCTCTTCCACCTTTTACCTCATCGAAGTGTCAGGGGAGATGTAATGTTTCAGGGTCCTTCTTCTTCTTCTCTTCCACCTTTTACCTCATCAAAGTGTTGGGGGAGATGTAATGTTTCAGGGCCCTTCTTCTTCTTCTCTTACACCTTTTACCTCGTCGAAGTGTCGGGGGAGATGTAATGTTTTAGGGCCCTTCTTTTTCTTCTTCTTTTCTTCCACCTTTTACCTCATCGAAGTGTCAGGGGGAGATGTAATGTTTCAGGGCCCTTCTTCTTCGTCTTCTCTTCCACCTTTTACCTCATCGAAGTGCCGGGGGAGATGTAATGTTTCAGGGCCCTTCTTCTTCTTCTCTTCCACCTTTTATCTCATTGAAGTGTCGGGGGAAGATGTAATGTTTTAGGGCCCTTCTTCTCTTCCACCTTTTACCTCATCGAAGTGTCAGAGGAGATGTAATGTTTCAGGGCCCTTCTTCTTCTTCTCTTCCACCTTTTACCTCATAGAAGTGTCAGGTGAGATGTAATGTTTCAGGGCCCTTCTTCTTCTCTTCAACCTTTTACCTCATCAAAGTGTCAGGGGGAGATGTAATGTTTCAGGGCCCTTCTTCTTCTTCTCTTCCACCTTTTACCTCACCGAAGTGTCGGGGGAGATGTAATGTTTCAGGGCCCTTCTTCTTCTTCTCTTCCACCTTTTACCTCATCGAAGTGTCGGGGGGAGAAGTAATGTTTTAGGGCCCTTCTTCTCTTCCACCTTTTAACTCATCGAAGTGTAGGGGGAGATGTAATGTTTCAGGGCCCTTCTTCTTCTTCTCTTCCACCTTTTACCTCATCAAAGTGTCAGGGGGAGATGTAATGTTTCAGGGCCCTTCTTCTTCTTCTCTTCCACCTTTTACCTCATCGAAGTGTCAGGGGAGATGTAATGTTTCAGGGTCCTTCTTCTTCTTCTCTTCCACCTTTTACCTCATCAAAGTGTTGGGGGAGATGTAATGTTTCAGGGCCCTTCTTCTTCTTCTCTTACACCTTTTACCTCGTCGAAGTGTCGGGGGAGATGTAATGTTTTAGGGCCCTTCTTTTTCTTCTTCTTTTCTTCCACCTTTTACCTCATCGAAGTGTCAGGGGGAGATGTAATGTTTCAGGGCCCTTCTTCTTCGTCTTCTCTTCCACCTTTTACCTCATCGAAGTGCCGGGGGAGATGTAATGTTTCAGGGCCCTTCTTCTTCTTCTCTTCCACCTTTTATCTCATTGAAGTGTCGGGGAAGATGTAATGTTTTAGGGCCCTTCTTCTCTTCCACCTTTTACCTCATCGAAGTGTCAGAGGAGATGTAATGTTTCAGGGCCCTTCTTCTTCTTCTCTTCCACCTTTTACCTCATAGAAGTGTCAGGTGAGATGTAATGTTTCAGGGCCCTTCTTCTTCTCTTCAACCTTTTACCTCATCAAAGTGTCAGGGGGAGATGTAATGTTTCAGGGCCCTTCTTCTTCTTCTCTTCCACCTTTTACCTCACCGAAGTGTCGGGGGAGATGTAATGTTTCAGGGCCCTTCTTCTTCTTCTCTTCCACCTTTTACCTTGTAGAAGTGTCGGGGGGAGATGTAATGTTTCAGGGCCCTTCTTCTTCTTCTTCTTCTCTTCCACCTTTTACCTCATCGAAGTGTCGGGGGAGATGTAATGTTTCAGGGCCCTTCTTCTTCTTCTCTTCCACCTTTTACCTCATCGAAGTGTCGGGGGAGATGTAATGTTTCAGGGCCCTTCTTCTTCTTCTCTTCCACCTTTTACTTCATCGAAGTGTCGGAGGGAGATATAATGTTTCAGGGCCCTTCTTCTTCTTCTCTTCCACCTTTTACCCCGTCGAAGTGTCGGGGGGAGATGTAATGTTTCAGGGCCCTTCTTTTTCTTCTTCTTCTCTTCCACCTTTTACCTCATCGAAGTGTCAGGGGGAGACGTAATGTTTCAGGGCCCTTCTTCTTCTTCTCTTCCACCTTTTACCTCATCGAAATGTCAGGGGAGATGTAATGTTTCAGGGCCCATCTTATTCTTCTCTTCCACCTTTTACCTTATTGAAGTGTCAGGGGAGATGTAATGTTTCAGGGCCCTTCTTCTTCTTCTTCTCTTCCACCTTTTACCTCATCGAAGTGTTGGGGGAGATGTAATGTTTCAGGGCCCTTCTTCTTCTTCTTCTCTTCCACCTTTTACCTCATCAAAGTTTCGGGGGATTTGTAATGTTTCAGGGCCCTAATGTGGGGAAAAGAACCGACCCACTGCTTCCCCAACAAGCATCACGTACGAGTCAACTAGTTGGGAGCTTCCTTTGAAATCACAGTGCATCTGCCTCAGAGGCTAGGAACCATCAGTCTGCATTTCCAAAGACTGCACTCGGTACACACTCAAGGCTGGGACAACCTGGAAGCCATCCAAAATAAACAAATTATTTCCCCCGGCCATGCTTGCTTACCTGGCAACAAGGCTCCTGAAATTCTATGTCATAATTGTGAAAGATTTTTTAACACAGCAGATCTTGCTATTACAACTCACCATCACAATGGACTGTAATGTTCTTGCTTACCTACTGCAGAATAAAAAACTATTATCTCTACAGACAGAAAGGTGCCCATAATAATCTTACAAAGAAGTGTGAGATAAACCAAAAAAGGATAAGATTCAAAGTAAAAATGTCACTTTTAAGGTTTCTCATCAGTAGAAAAATGTGAATACCTTTGGGAACTTGCTTTCTTCATCGATCAGAGCCAGGATGTTCATGGACTTGGCTGCAATCAGGTCCAGGGAGTCCTGGTTATCTACAAATTCAATATGATGCCAGTTGATCCCCTCCAGGTTGTACTCAGCCTGCTCCAGCTTGAAGATGTGTCTCACAAAGAACTGCTGGAGATTCTCATTGGCATAGTTGATGCACAGCTGTTCAAAGCTGTAGATTTCAAGTTTGTAGACAATGTTTGAGGAGCCCTTCGATCATTAAATTATTTTCCTGTGTCTAATTAAGAGTGTTTCCTTTAAAGCGGGAGTGCAACTGCTTGAGGGACGATTAACGAATAGTAAAAGTAAAAGTAAAGTTCCCTTTTCATGCCTTTCGGCGCATCGGGCATATGGACAGAGCGTCCCATATTTTTACAGACCATCAGCACTCTGTGGGTAATGTGGTCAGCATTACACCAGCTGTCTTTACTTTCCCAGGACAGCCCATCCTGGTACCCATTTTAGGCTGGGTCGACCTGCGACGTCCCATACCACGATAAAAATCCACGCAGCCTGCAGTGGGTTTCGATCGCGGTATGCTGGCTTACGAATCGGACTCGCAACGCCAGTAGCATTTATATAAAGATCTGGAACAGGACGAAAGTCCAAAACTGAACAAACAACCAAAACTTTCTTGTGGAGTTTACAGTCAGTGCATATAGAACAAGAAGAAGAAGGAGGAGAACGAGGACGAGAGGAGGAAAAGAAGATAAGACCATTAAGATCTTTTTTTTTCTTCTTTCCATTTTTTTGGGGGGAGGGGGGGGGGGAGGGGGGGGACCAATTTTTGTACTGGATGTTACTGCACCATGCTGAGCTGTGATTGTTGTGCCTTTCAGCTGCCACATGTGACTTATTCAGGCACTTGACATTCAGGCACTTGACATTCAGGCACTTGACACTCAGGCACTTGACATTCAGGCACTTGACATTCAGGCACTTGACATTCAGGCACTTGACACTCAGGCACTTGACATTCAGGCACTTGACATTCAGGCACTTGACATTCAGGCACTTGACACTCAGGCACTTGACACTCAGGCACTTGACACTCAGACACTTGACACTCAGGCACTTGACATTCAGGCACTTGACATTCAGGCACTTGACATTCAGGCACTTGACACTCAGGCACTTGACATTCAGGCACTTGACATTCAGGCATTTGACATTCAGGCACTTGACACTCAGGCACTATATTCAGGCACTATATTCAAGCACTTGACACTCAGGCACTTGACATTCAGGCACTTGACACTCAGGCACTTGACATTCAGGCACTTGACACTCAGGCACTTGACATTCAGGCACTTGACACTCAGGCACTTGACATTCAGGCACTTGACATTCAGGCATTTGACATTCAGGCACTTGACACTCAGGCACTTGACATTCAGGCACTTGACATTCAGGCACTATATTCAAGCACTTGACATTCAGGCACTTGACACTCAGGCACTTGACATTCAGGCACTTGACACTCAGGCACTTGACATTCAGGCACTTGACACTCAGGCACTTGACATTCAGGCACTTGACACTCAGGCACTTGACATTCAGGCACTTGACACTCAGGCACTTGACATTCAGGCACTTGACATTCAGGCACTTGACACTCAGGCACTTGACATTCACGCACTTGACACTCAGGCACTTGACATTCAGGCACTTGACATTCAGGCATTTGACATTCAGGCACTTGACACTCAGGCACTTGACATTCAGGCACTTGACATTCAGGCACTATATTCAAGCACTTGACATTCAGGCACTTGACACTCAGGCACTTGACATTCAGGCACTTGACACTCAGGCACTTGACATTCAGGCACTTGACACTCAGGCACTTGACATTCAGGCACTTGACACTCAGGCACTTGACATTCAGGCACTTGACATTCAGGCACTTGACACTCAGGCACTTGACACTCAGGCACTTGACATTCAGGCACTTGACATTCAGGCACTTGACACTCAGGCACTTGACACTCAGGCACTTGACACTCAGGCACTTGACACTCAGGCACTTGACACTCAGGCACTTGACATTCAGGCACTTGACATTCAGGCACTTGACACTCAGGCACTTGACATTCAGGCACTTGACATTCAGGCATTTGACATGCAGGCACTTGACACTCAGGCACTTGACATTCAGGCACTATATTCAAGCACTTGACATTCAGGCACTTGACACTCAGGAACTTGACATTCAGGCACTTGACACTCAGGCACTTGACATTCAGGCACTTGACACTCAGGCACTTGACACTCAGGCACTTGACATTCAGGCACTTGACACTCAGGCACTTGACATTCAGGCACTTGACATTCAGGCACTTGACATTCAGGCACTTGACACTCAGGCACTTGACACTCAGGCACTTGACACTCAGGCACTTGACATTCAGGCACTTGATATTCAAGCACTTAACCTTCACAGTTATTAAAGAACACTGTAGTCTCACTTTTGTTGTTATCATCTGTGTCTCGTAATCCACATGTGTTGTCCCTCAACAGGTGAGTCTAGGGCAGTGGCATGTATGCCAGCTAGCCCTCAAGTTAATGCAAGGGCCGAACATGCGCATTCCCCACTATCCAAGAAGAGTTCAATAAATACAAAGCCAATATTTGGCACTATGGTAGTGGTCTCACTCAAGGAATCACCACAATCTGCAAATACTAAGTCCATAGACCAGTGGCTCTCAACTTTCCGATGCCACGACCATTTAACACAGTTCCCTCATGTTGTGGCGACATTAAACAATTATTCTCCTTCATAACTTCAATAAATATGTGTTTTCTGATGGTCTTAGGCGACCCCTGTGAAAAAGTCATTCGACCAAAAAAAAAAGGTTGCGACTGGTGGGTTAAGAACCGCTGCCATAGACTTTCACATGTTTCATAACAGTGTTGACCACGATTATTCCTTCTTTCACAAATCATAATAGTATTTCCCCATGTGAACTCTAGGGCCCGCTTTGAGGAAGAGGGGGAGGGGGGAGGATGAAAGCTATTACATGTTCCAATTTTTCTCTTCTTATATTTTCAAACGTCATGACTGCCTCTTTTTCATGTTTGTGATAAACTGTCTTTGTGTTTTTAGCCTCTTTCAAATCAGAGCTATTAGCAGGGTTTTTGTTGTTGTTGATATTGTTTTTCTGTGTGTTTCTTGTAAAAAGAAAAAAGGTGCCAGCACTCACAACAAAGTGTCCAAAAAAGGTGCAGGTTCTCACCATAAAATGTCAATTAGAAAAGCGCTGAATAAGTGATGTATTTAAATACAAATATCAGCACTGTGTACTGTCAGAAGAAAAAGTCCTGGCGATGACTCGTTTTATGTATTCGTAGAATTGTAAACATTTTTTCTGCAAATACCCTATCTTTGAAGACTCAGTGGATCTGTTAGCTTATTTACTATTAGTCCAATTTTATAATGCAAAACTGCAAAATGTAGGCACAACATAGTTTTCTTCTCAAGGATCTCTGTGACCCTAAAGGATTTGTTGGCTCATTTAGTATGACAGGCTTGATGTTGTGAGGGCCTTTTGGGAGTGAGTGAACAGTGCCGAGGAACAGATAGATCCTTACGGTCTGAGAAGAATGGCAAGGGGATCTGGTCGACGCTCGACACTCAGGGGAAAGGCGAGACAAATATACAATCAGACAGTTACTGGTACCATCAAAATTTTAACTCTTGGCTGGCTGCTGAAGATGGGGATGAAGCGCTTATGGGGGTGTCCTGAGTGCTGTGATGTCGATGCTTAATTCAACATTCAAATTTTTGTCTAATATTTAAATTAGGGCTGTACCGAATAGTGATTTTCACTATTCGGCCGAATACGAATAGCTGGACCAACTATTTGGCCGAATACGAATACAAATAGTGAATCATCATCATCATGTGCTTTGCCGGCTGGCATGGGCGATTATGCCTCGCCACAATCTGCAATCTCCTGCAGCACGTATTAGTTCGTGTGCTGACACACCTCCATGAAAAACCTTCGTTCCATATTGTCAGCATTAGGCCAGCTTTTTGTCTCACTGAAGGTATTTCCAGCTGTCCTAAACAGGAAAATACGACAAATACAGAGAGTCAAAATGAAAACCCGCGAGGCGAAACATCAAAAACAAAAATAACGCTGACGAAGAAAACAATGCCGTCCTTACAAGTCGCCCAGCCCCCCGCGAGCTTACGAAACCGGACGCCGGGCGGCCAACGCCAGAAGATCAAACAACAAAGACAATCAAGAAACCGAACGTCGATCAAAACATTCAGCCGCTGCCGTTTCCACGAGAAGACGAAAGAACAGATACGACACCCATAAATGATGATGAACTCCCGTTACTTCAAAGAATCAACGAAGAGGACACTCCACTCAAAGAAATCAAGCCGACAACACTACTCGCAACAACACATGCAAGATGGAAATAAAGGGGCACTTGGTACGCTCGTAGGTGGTGCACAAAGATAACGCTTCACAGTATAAACCAAGGTGGGAAGTCTTGATGTTTTTTTTCCACCAGTCCAGAAACGGTTGTGAGGTAACCACTATTCGTATTCGGCCCGACCGCAACTATTCGGCCAAATACCGAATAGTTATTGGGTCCACTATTCGGCCTCGAAGCGAATACGAAGCGAATATTCAGTACAGCCCTAATTTAAATATTTAAAAAACTAGGGTGATAAACGTAGGCAAGGCAAAACAAACAATTGTCTTCTCGAATACAAGTTTGATAAGACTAAGAATACATGCCGTACACTTACCTGTTCTTATCAAAGTTCTCAAATCCAAAGATGTCCAAAACTCCTATAGACTTGCGATACTTGCTCCCCTTTGGTTTATAGATGGCCACATTGATCTTTTCAACAATCCATATGAACATACGGCCATAGATTCCTTTGACAAAAGCATCTCGTACATCCAATGACTGCTCTTTCCCAATGGTGAAAGTTACACTTTCTCCTTTAGTGACAATGGTCCTTGTGGTGAGAGCATCCACCAACTCTTGGGCATTTACCTGTGATCAATTCCACAAACATTCAGAAATTAACATAGATGATTAGAAGGACAAAACAAAAGTTCTTGTATTCTACATAACCATAAGTAAAACCAAAAACATATCAGTAATAAGTAGATTACTGACTGAGGAAATCTAGGGTGACTGCAGTCAAGCTAATACCAAGGAATTACTCAACTAAACTGTAATTAAGAAGCTACCAACAAAAACAACAACAGTTAGGATGGAGTGGAAACTATGTGAGCATGCACGCACGCACACACAAACACATACACACATGCACGTGTACATGCACGTGTACATGCACACACACACAAGAAAAATTCTATGCTTCAACTAATCTTTTCTTGACAAAAACCACAACAACATGGGGGGGGGGGGGAAGGGGAGGGGGGCAGCACGGTTGGCTAGGATACTCTACCCCCCTGTGGTTGTGGTTTTATTGTGAAAGGCTCTGGCCAATTTGTCTTGTGTATATAAATTGTTCCCTCCCCCTCCTTTCTTTTGATTTGGTAGTTTAGCTTCTCTGTCACAGTTCAGTGGACCAGGTTACTGACTGTAAGTTAAGTAAAGGGTCAGTTTCAAAGTTTCTCAAAGTTAGTTGCAAGTTTCTCAAAGTTAGTTGCAAGTTTCTCAAAGTTAGTTGCAAGTTTCTCAAAGTTAGTTGCAAGTTTCTCAAAGTTAGTTGTGTATCTTTTACAGGATGTTGCAGACCCTCAGCATTATTTGGCTGGTGTGGTTTTTCTGGGCAAATTTTATGTTTAGTAGTTTGCCTCTGCTTTCTGAATAGCCAGCTCTCGGTACAACTGTTGAAATCAATGTAAGACAAATCATCTGCATTGGGATCGAACCCAGCACCACAGCATTACAAAATGTGTTCCCACAGACACTGCTGTTTTTAACATTGGCTGTACTAATTTCCTACAATATCTCCTTGTACCCATTACAGGCAAGGTCAACTGGAAGACAAGGTCAGTTTCTTTAAATATCCCTGCTTCAATTAGATTTTGAACATGCTGCCATTATGTTAACAGGTAAGAGTGCTATAGATTAACACATTGTATGTTATAGTGTAAGTAACAAGACATATACTTGCATATGTGTTAAGACACATCCCTGCATACGTATTAACAGGCATAGAAAAATAACAGCTGGCCAAGTGGCTAAAACACTGGGCTCTCAAGTGAAAGACCTGAACACTTGGTAAGATAATGACAGTTTCTTCTGTCTGAGGCAACAATAAACATCCCAACCTGCACAGTTTGTGACACCTGTTCTAGCCTCTAGCCTTAAATCAGTGGTTCTCAGCCTTCCTAATGCTGTGACCCAATAATACAGTTCCTCGTGTTGTGGTGACCCCCAAGCATAAAATTATTTCCGTTGCTACTTCATAACTTCAGCGAATATGTGTTTTCCGATGGTCTTAGGTGGCCTCTGTGAAAGGTTATTCAACCCCAAAGGGGGTCGCGACCTGCAGGGTGAGAACTGCTGCTTTAAATGCTCAAGAACCCCCGTCCCACTCCCTCCCATCCTACACCATTAAAAAGTGGTAAGTAGAGGCAGTAAATTATTTAGAAGTATGTATCAGAAGACATTCTAGACAACAAGAATGAGTGAAAGTTATAGGCACAATAAATTTCAATGTGGCACTGCTAAAGGACATGTGATTGAAGATTTTTTAAAAATAAATAGATCAATGGTCACTTAACTCTTTGAGTCCCAGCTGGGTTTAGCATCATAGGCCCAAAGGGTAGTCAAAAGAGATGTAAAATCGGCGCATAATGCGTTTTTTGGGCTTCTGTGTAGGAACATTTGAACGTAGGATGCGTTCCTTGGGACTCAAAGAGTTCATGGTTGAAATGGTTAATATAACACCAGCCTTTTTTACCACCCACATTTCCAGGTGATCAGTCTTAGGATGGGGTGACCAGGTAACCCAATTCAATTTAAAGCAGGCGGCTACATCATTCGGGTCACAACTGCAATTTTTAAGGAGATCAATGGTAATCGTCACTGAAGCTGCAGAGTTCGTACTCTGTGCAATGCTCTCAGACAGCTATAGAGACAGAGCTATATGAGATAAAACCCAGTGCAATGAAGTCAGTCCTCTAGACTTTATAACTTTAATATATAATCGTGGACTGAGTGTACAGATAACTCTTCTCTCTAAATACTATATCTATATATTTTTTGTGTGTAAAGGTTGTTACCTCTAACAGTCTGGCCACTTTGTTAATGAAAGAGATATCCTGGATTTCTGTGGCCGCCAGATTGTCCATCTCAATTTCTACCAAAAACGATAAAAAAAATTAAGGCAATTAGCATTATTTTTGCACTAAAGAACATTAATAAATCTATTTTAAAAATATTTATAAAGTTGAGTTATTGTAGTGGCTGGAAGTACAGAAAGGGATGTAGCACAACTAATTATGACAGGTTAATAACTAGAAGAAAGGGGCTCTATTAACTGTCTGGAATCAAAATAGTTAACTATACAGACATAATTATGTACTACTTAGAAGGAGTTAAAACAACATCTTTTTCATACTGATAGAGTTAAAAATAGCTATAATGTATTATAAAAACAATATCACCAATTATTTTCTGAAACAAACCATTGTATTTCACATTTCCAAGATGTAGCAGTGCTGCCAGCACTTTGAGTATCTCCCAGATCTCATCGTCTGTGAACATGAGAACTTTCATGGCAGATCGGATGTCAGCAAAATCTTTCTTATCATCTCTGCCTTCACAGACAACACTTCCTCCCTGAAACAGACAATTGTGATGCTTGTAAAATCAAATGAAATAATAAAATTAAACAAAATCGTAACCAAAGAAACACCCCTCATCTTCTTTCTCCCACTTCCTCGTTTTTATAATGAAACTGGCATCCCATCTCAAATTTAATTTACCACAAAAATGTACATTCTTTGGATGCATTATTATGTTGAAAAGATATGTTGTAAACAAAAGATATGTTGTTAAAAAAATATATATTGTAAGAAAAAAATATGCTGTAAATAATATATGTTGTAAAAAAATAAAATCCTGTAAAAAAGGCATGTTGTAAAAAAAAAATATGTTGCTTTCAGAGCATGCATGCTACTGGCCTGGTGGCCATGGTTTTTTAATTCCCATCAAGGCAGATTAAAAAAAATTGTCTTGACTCGTAGGTCAAATGGACGTCAAAAAGGTAACAGGCAAGGGGACCAGTATGACAGTGACAACATCACCTGTTGTGTGCTGACTGGTCTGTAATTAAATATAGAGTACATAAATTCCAGAAAGCAATGGCAAACTACTGGACGTAAATTTGCTTAGAAAAACCACACAACAGCCAGGGGCTGTTGGAGTTGGTTCTGCAACGTCCTGTAAATTATACCCAACAACCTTAAACTATATATATATATATATATATATATATATATATATATATATATATATATATATACTCAGTGTGGCAAAGTAGTCAAGCCATTTGTCTCGGGCTCTGAAGATTGTAGTTTTGTTTCACAGCTGCGCCCCTTAGTTCAGTTTTTACTGAGATCATTGGGGGTCATCGCTGGAGCTACAGAGTTTGTGCTGTGTGTGGCGCTCTCGATGGGCAGCTAGCCATTCTGATGAGAGAGACTGAGCCATATGGGATAAAACCTGGTGTAATGAAGTCGATCGTCTCAACTAGAATCTTTTTTTTTTTTTTTTTTTGAAGTAAATGTATGAAATACGGGGTTGTTGTTTTTTTTTTTTTTGTTTAAACTATTGATCTGATGAGGTTGGCAATTCTGGTTCTACTGATTTCGTGGTCTGGCATCATAAAGCATTCTCTCTAGGAGACAAAGCATTTGATTTGCTAGCTTTGTATTTAATTTTGAACTGGTTCTGTATTGACTTTTTCTCTTAAGATCTCATTCCTGATTTTATCTCTTCTGGTCACTCCTGCAGCTTTTCTCAGCTGTCTCTTTTCCATGGTTACTTACTTAAATAATTCAAAGGTAACATGGAAAAAACTCTATATATCCCATTTATAACTCAAATGGGTTGAACAGTATATTTTTGTATAAATTACTATTACCACTGGGAGTCGCCGTGGCGCAGCAGCTAGACGCTCCCGTGCGGATGGGAAGGTTGTGGGTTTGCTCCCTGGCAGTGCCAGACTATTTTCAAAAATTACCTTGACTCCCAGGTCAGCCCAGCCTTGAGTGGGTACCGGGTGAGGTACTGGGAAGTAAAGGCGGCCGGCATGATGCTGACCACATCACCCATCTTGTGCCGATTGGTCTACGAAAATTACAGGTCTAGTCCTAAACGCCTAAAAGCATGGAAAAGGGACTTTTACTTTGTTGTTTTGGTGTTGTTTTACTATTACCACTTACTTGAATCAAGTACTGATAGTTCGTGGCATTTTGCAGTTCCAGTTTGGATTTATCTTCCTGTGACATGCCAGCTAGCATACAGTAGAAGATGTGATAGTTCCTCTCGTCATGCATCTGGCTCACAATACGAGATTTCTCCAGCAAATACTGCTCTACTTTGGCTCCCTCTATCACTCCATTCTCGTTGAAGTGAATGTCAATGTACTTGCCAAAGCGGCTTGAGTTGTCATTTCTGATTGTTTTGGCATTTCCAAAAGCTGTAGATATTTTTTTTAAATTATACAAAATATACTGAATTATCCATTGTTACTGAGCTAATGTCAGCATCTGTGGTTTAGGTGTTGGAAACGTTCGTCGTAATGCCGGGGTGACAGGTTTGATCCCAACTGTGGACTCACAGTAATTTTGACAGTGGTACCAAGAGCTGACCATTCAGAAAGCAAACGCAAACTACTGAACATAAAATTTTCCTAGAAAAATCAGAGCAGTCCAAAAATGCTGGGGTTAGTTCTGCAACGTCCTGTAAAGGATACACAACTAATAACTGAGCTAAACACTAGCACCTTCAAATGACAATGACTATTAATCTCGAGTTAAACTCAACAATCTTAAACAATGCCTATGTAAACAGAGTTCCCATAATTTAGGCTCTGTAATTATGTTAATTTTAACTCTTTCAGTCACAAAAAACATGTGATTCATAAATGCTTCTTCCTCAGTTATCCCAATCAGTAATAAATGCTTTCTTTTACTTTGTACTTTTTATTCAGGAATAATTTTTTAAAGTCTTGTTTCCTATCTAGGTTAACAAAGTGTGGGGGATGGTGGGGGGGGGGGGGGGGGGTCTGTGGGCAGAGACCATCAGTCACTGGCAGTCTTTCAGAGAGTTAATGTAGTGAATGCCTATCAGCAGAGATCACTAGTCACTGGCAGTCTTTCAGAGAGTTAATGTAGTGAATGCCTATCAGCAGAGATCACTAGTCACTGGCAGTCTTTCAGAGAGTTAATGTAGTGAATGCCTATCAGCAGAGATCACTAGTCACTGGCAGTCTTTCAGAGAGTTAATGTAGTGAATGCCTATCAGCAGAGATCACCAGTCACTGTCAGTCTTTCAGAGAGTTAATGTAGTGAATGCCTATCAGCAGAGATCACTAGTCACTGTCAGTCTTTCAGAGAGTTAATGTAGTGAATGCCTATCAGCAGAGATCACTAGTCACTGGCAGTCTTTCAGAGAGTTAATGTAGTGAATGCCTATCAGCAGAGATCACTAGTCACTGGCAGTCTTTCAGAGAGTTAATGTAGTGAATGCCTATCAGCAGAGATCACTACTCACTGTCAGTCTTTCAGAGAGTTAATGTAGTGAATGCCTATCAGCAGAGATCACTACTCACTGTCAGTCTTTCAGAGAGTTAATGTAGTGAATGCCTATCAGCAGAGATCACCAGTCACTGGCAGTCTTTCAGAGAGTTAACGTAGTGAATGCCTATCAGCAGAGATCACTAGTCACTGGCAGTCTTTCAAAGAGTTAACGTAGTGAATGCCTATCAGCAGAGATCACCAGTCACTGTCAGTCTTTCAGAGAGTTAACGTAGTGAATGCCTATCAGAATCAAGCTAAAAGCATGTTGATATACAAGTGGAGACCATTCAGTAGGTTCAACAAACCTTTAAAGATGGCATGAGCATTTGACAAATTAAGCAGCGGTACAATTTCTTCAAAGATGGCCACATGTCAATGCAGAGTGGAACACATTTCAGTAGACCCTCAACAAGCTGAAGTCACATTGCCACTGACCTAATACTTTGGTGAAGCAGAGCCTTACTGTCACCACTCAAGAACATAGAGAGCATGGATTTAGTATATAGTCCATTTGGATGGAGGATTTGGTCAATGTGTAGTGTTTTCACAAAATGTGTGCCAAAACTGTTAACCATGCAACAGAAGTAACTATTGTTTCTCACCCTAACTGTAACTCCTTCAGATGCTCTTATTTAATCCCTTCATGTTATTCTCCTACTTGTATCACTGACTCTTGCTCACTGCCTTTAACTTTTCCTCAAGTGTGGTTTTAAACCCCTTTGCCCACAAATGTTTTTTTTTTAAAAAGGGGTCATACATCTACAAAAAGAAGAAAAAGTCGCGTAAATTTCCCAGGGGGGGGGGTCTTTTTTTTTTTTTTTTTCAAACAATAGTATAGTCAGATGCATATTCTTTGCAGAACAAACCTCAGTATTTTCTAGTTGTTACGATTTTTCAAGGCAAATTTTATGTTCAGAGGTTTGTAATTTTTTCTGAACGGACAGCTCTCGTTACCACTGTCAAAACCAAAGCAAGAAAAATCATCGGTAGCTGGAATTGAAGTTGGCACTACAGCAATACAAAGGGCATTTACAACTCCTAAGCTACAGAGGCCAATAAACTATAGTATACAGGTCACTCATACATTTTCTAAACATTAATTCACCTATTCTTTCAAATGTGTTTTTGAAATATATACAGATATCTAAAGGTGTAATCAATAAAAATTAGCAAAATAAAGCATTAAATGGAAAACATTACCCAGGGTTTTAAAATAAATATTGGGTGATTCATGTTGAGGTTTATGGGAACACCTGACATCAACATGGCTTTCAAAATGCCACAAGGAAACCCCTTTAGACGCTATTTGTGGCTACTATATTCATATCCTGGCTTATTAAAACCTGTGCAGGTGCTTATGAGGCTTAAGAAATGTAACTATGCTTTTCAAGAACTGGTCACCACAGACATGATCAGACAACAGCATTTACAGAACTGTGTCACAGTATAAATGAAAAAAAAAACACAATTGTATTGACTGGTACATCATCATATGCACGCAGACACATTAATAACTTGATGTATAACGAAATTTAACATCACTGTGTGTGTTCTGTGGGCCCATTTTTGAGACGGGAGAGGGGAGAGATGGGGGGGGGGGGGGTTGAACCACTGCCTCCCTAACAAGCATGTCGTAAGAATCGGCTAATTAGGGGGGTTTTTTTCTGCCTAAAAGGCAAGGAACTAACATTCAAATACAAATAAGCCAGGTCTATTAAAAAAGTGGATATAATTACAAAAGTCAAGTTCAGGAACAAGATTTAAGTCTAGAAGTGGACGAGCAGCCAGAACTTCCCATCGGAGTTTACAGCTAGTGAACAAAAAGAAAAAGAAGAATTTAACTAAATGGTAACACCATATGTTTTCAAACCATGGCTAACCTTCAGGTATTTTTACTGTGTATAAATAAGTAAAAATCACCTTGGCTCCCAGGTCGACCCAGCCTTGAGTTGGTACCGGGTGCAGTCCCGTGAATTAAAGGAGGCCGGCTTGATGCTGAAAACATCACCCATCTTGTGCCGATTGGTCTTTAAAAATATAGGTCTAGCCCTATATGCCCTATACGCCTAAAGGCGTGGAAAAGGGTCCTTTACTTCACTATAAATAATTGAGAATTGTCCTATGTATGTAAAAGCATACAACAAATTAGAGGCATAAGAGAAAATACCTTCCATAATGGGGTTTGCCTCAAGTATCTGCTGCTCAATCCATGAGTGCTGGCCAGATACAGCAGCCAGAAACTGGAGTATCAGTTTAGTACTCTCTGTTTTCCCAGCCCCAGACTCTCCACTGTGGCAGATTTTTCAAATATAAAATGCATGACTATTTCATTGTATGTTCTAAATAACACAGGTAGAGCTAAACAACAACAAGCACAATCAGGATGAAGCACAGATAAAGAGGAATTCTCATTGGGATCAACATAAAATGGTCCACAGATGCATGGGTTGACAATATAAAACACATATATGGACACCAAGACATTAACCCTGGCACAAACTGAAACCCTCCTTCAGCCATTAAACTTGGCATAGAAAATTAGACCATAATTGTAACCAAAAGCTCCTAGGAGCTGATTGAATGTGGCCAAATTTTTTTCTCCCTTAAACTGGAATTGGGAAACTGCATGTTCTGTTATTATAAGACATGTTTCCACACATTGAGGGTTCTGGTTATATGGTTTCAGACCTATAATTTTACAGGCCAATTGATAATCAATGGGCAATAAGGTAAAATCAAATCGGCCAGCTTTACTTTCCAGAATATTTTCAGAACTAAATTTTTACACCAGGTGAATGTGAAAATTGAGCAGGGGAGAGAACAGTAATTTGAAAAGGCAGTAAGACTAACCCTGAACAGGAAGAAACTGAGAGTTCAACAAGAAATAAACAGAATCAGAAAAGAGGTAATGAGAGGGAGTCTGTTGGGATTAATCAAACTTTTAGTGTAAGTAAAATTATTTTAAATCTACCTCATTAGGGATGAGAATCTATGACCTCCAGTCATACAGGCAAGTGTGCTAGCAACTGTGATACTACTGCTCTCCTCTACTGTCATACATCCACGAAATAACAGGCATTTACATAGTTAATCAACCCATCATCCTCATCACAGATGTCAATAAGTGCTCAGATCCCATCTACAGATATTTATGCCTACATAGTTTTTGTTTTTTGTTTTAGTGACATATATATATGCCTATCAATTATGTCTAGTTATTAAATATTTCACAGTCTATGTATTAATTTTATAAGATTGTAGCAGTATAAACTGTCAGGCTCTCCTCTGAAAATGGTCCTAAATTATTGAGGCTAGAAAATACCCACATAGGGCCTCAGTGGTGTATAAAATTAGAATTCCTTTTTGGTAAATACCTCAGGGGTGGGCGACAAATCGCGCGACTAGTCCCGCCTTCATAACGTGCGCCCATTTCAGTTGTGTGCATAACCCTTCAATTGTCAGTGTCGCGGCTGGAATGTTGTGACAGATTTTAGTGGTGGTGTCGTAATTGTAATACTCATTGCCCTAACCCTTACCCTAAACCTAGGACACAGGAGAGAAGTTAAACCTAGGACGCAGGCGAGAAGCTAAACCTAGGACCCAGGAGAGAAGTTAAACCTAGGACCCAGGGGAAAAAATAAACCTATGATCCAGGAGAGAAGTTAAACCTAGGACCCAGAGGAGAAGTTAAACCTAGGACCCAGGAAGATGTTGAACCTAGGACCCAGTGTCGGAGATGATGATCTGTCTGCCAAGGTGATAACTCACCGGAAATGAGTCCGCAATTTACATCTAACTGAGGCCCCATTAGCGTATTTTCTTAGCCTCAATAATTTAGGACTGTTTTCGGAGGAAAGCCGACTGTCAATACATTTTAAGTGCACTTTCAAATAGTTTTCAAAGTTAATGTTTCTTACATCATACCCAAACAATTGCATCATCTGATCCAAGCACACTAAGACAAATTCCGCAACAATTATACCTGATAATAATACACTGATCATGCTGGTATCTCTTCATGCTGCTGTACGAGTTGTCTGCTATAGCAAAGATATGGGGAGGTAACTCTCCAATTTTCCTATCTCTGTAAAGCTGGATCTGCTCAGGTGTGTAGATGGGGAGAACTTCATAAGGATTCACTGCCACTAGAATTGATCCTGTGTAAGTCTGCAAGGTAAATGTTGGAATAGTCACTTAATCCTCTCATCCCAGATACATCAGAATATATAGATCATAACCCTGGTGTAATTCCAGAAAACAAATCCTTTAAAAAACATTTCAGTCAGGCCACTAAAAAAATCATTAAAAAAATTTATTTATCCTTTTGTTTTAATTTTTTTTAAATTCTTAAGATATATGGAGGGAGTAATCAACGAACCTTAACAGGGTGAGGCATTCTATGGAGTACATTTCCCTGAGCCAAAACACACACATACACACACACACACACACACAAAATATGTATCAGATGACTCATACCTTAACCCAATGACCTCTATTAAGGAGGCTTATTGGAAAATTTGACATCAACTTGGTTTTTAAAAAGCTGTTTGGCTCAAGGAGGCCAAAAAAAACTAAATTTTTTTTTAGTTAATGTCTTTACATCCTGACCTCCTAAATGTTTGCACGGGTGTGAAATCTGCTAGTAAAATTAACTGTGCATCTCATAAACAGGTCACTACAGAAAAGTCAGAAAAGTGGCTTTTACAGGGAATAGGGTCCACCCAGAAGCACTGGTTCTATAGCTTCTCAGGGCAAAGGGGGTAACAATAAATTATTGTGGTTTTTTTAACTAACAGTGTGCTGACTCAATAATGATCACTGGCTGCAGTGTATCCATTGTAGTCTTTGAGAATATTATGTGATGAGGCCCCAAACTCTTTCATGTTACAACTCTAATATCACTGCCTGAATGCCACAGGAACACTTTTTTTTTTTTTACAATAAACTGTCCACAGAAGAAATTGATCCAACTCAATGAAGACTGTGAAAATAATTGAGTATTTGTAAATTAAATGCAGTGGATATCTTGCAGAAATAATGTGCAGGTATACAATTAATTGCTAAAATGACCCAGAATAAGCTACTTCTTCTTCTTCTTTTTCTTCTTCTTCTTCTTCTTCTTCTTCTTCTTCTTCTTCTTCTTCTTCTTCTTCTTCTTCTTTTTCTTTTTCTTCTTCTTCTTCCATTTGTTTGTTTCAATGATCAGGATAATAACACTATATGCCCAGTCCCTTTTTATTTCTTTATCTATGACAACATAGTGAGATCTACTTTATATGACAGAATATGAGATCTACATTATATGAAAACAACATATGAGATCTACATTATACAACAACAACAAATTAGTGATATTATCATATGACAACCACATAGTGAGACCTACACTATACAACAACAACATAGTGAGATCTATGTTATACAAAAACAATCTACTAAGATCTACATTATATGAAAACAACCTGGTAAGATCTACATCATGTGACAACAACATAGATAGATCTGTATTATACAACAACAACCTAGTGAGATCTACATTATATACCAAGAACATAGTGAGATCTACACCATAAAACAACAGCCTAGTGTAATCTACATTCTGTGACAACAACCTGGTAAGATCTACATTATGTGACAACAACATAGAGAGATCTACAGTATATAACAACAGACTAGTGAGATCTTCATTATATGTCAAGAACAAAGTGAGATCTAATTTTACAACAACAACATAGTAAGATCTACATTATACATCAACAATACATGTAATGCTTACATATATTTGATGGTCCATGTATCTTATAAACAGATTCCTCAAGATGCCGGACTCATTCAGGTCACCCAGGCTAATCATATCCTCCACACCAGACACAGAAGTGATGTGCATGTGCCGAAGTTTCTTAGATCCATCCACCCAGTGTTCATTTTTATCATCATCCAGCAGCAGGATTTGACCAGAGCTGGAGGACACAACCTGAGCCCCAATGGAGACAGCAAACTCTCCTGGTTTGTCTGGTTCAATCCAGACATGATCTCCCTGTTGAGAATACAAAAAGGTAATATTTGTATTTGTATGACCCCTTCAGAATGTCATAAACCAACTCCAGCATTTATTAGCTTTCTGTGGGCAGTGTACATTCAGTAGTTTGCCACTGGAGACCAAGGTTCAAATCCTCAGTAAGGTTATGGTTTTTCCTTCTGTCAGGGGCAAAAATAAAATCCTAACCTGCACAGTGTGTGGCAACTGCACTAGCCATGGAGACCCAAATCCTCAGGCTCAAAGATGCACATAGCTAAACTGCAAAAGTAGTAAATACAAACAGTAATGAAGGTTGTGTGGAAGTGAGTGAGTGAGTGAGTGAGTGAGTGAGTGAGTGAGTGAGTGAGTGAGTGAGTGAGTGAGTGAGTGAGTGAGTGAGTGAGTGAGTGAGTGAGTGAGTGAGTGAGTGAGTGAGTGAGTGAGTGAGTGAGTGAGTGAGTGAGTGAGTGAGTGAGTGAGTGAGTGAGTGAGTGAGTGAGTGAGTGAGTGAGTGAGTGAGTGAGTGAGTGAGTGAGTGAGTGAGTGAGTGAGTGAGTGAGTGAGTGATTGAGTGAGTGAGTGAGTGAGTAAGGTGGGAGGGAGTGAATAAGAGTGGGTGGGTGAGTAAGTGAGTGAATGAGTGAGTGAGTGAGTGAGTGGGTGGGTAAGTGATTGGGTGAGTGAGCTAGTGGGTGGGTGAGTGAATGAGCATATGTATGTGTGTGAGAGAGAGGTAGAGAGGGAGGGAGAGTGAGAGAGAGAGAGATAGAGAGATAGAGAGAGAGATGGACATTGCTTTCTGAACAGTTAAAGTTTAGCTGACTATCCTCTTCAAGTCATATGTTGCCAAAATCAAGGTGACGTGGTCTACTATCAAATCACCTGCAACTCACTTCAAACCTGAGTTTTCAGAAATTGTCAAACTGTGTTCACAACCTCTTAGCCACAGATACTCACTTTGATGTATACATTGAGAAAATATAATAATAAACTATTGTTTAAAAAAAAATATTCAGTGGAACTCACATGGCAAAAAAGACAGATCTAAAAAAAAACTCACAGAGAAAAAAATTAGACAAATGACTATGTTAAGGATTTAGACTGAGCTGCAAGAGATGGCAAAAAGTAGGGTGACTTGGTATTAGTTGCTTGAGGGCATATGCTCAAAGTGACACTTTTCGGTTCTATCCCAACATCTCCCCCCAAACAGACAGTCAAATATTTTAGGGGGTGGTAGACAGGCTGCATGCAGTCATGGGACCTAGGC